GACGGCTGGTAAAAAAAAAGCACAGAAAAAAACCCACCCAGCCAGGGACGACACAATTTCCGTTCAATCCTTCGCTCGCCGTTTACTCTCTCCGTATATCTAAACCACGCCGTCTCATCCTCTATACGACAACGATCTCATGCCTTCTCCCCTTCCTTAAAAACTTCCAGGTCGGGGAGAACACAGTCACCACCGTTCATCAAATGTCACTTCCCCAATCTCCCGCCGTTGATTCCCTCCCTCAACAGCGCGCCTCCACCTTTGATCACCGCGGCTCCTCCAAACGCAAACTAGACGATGTCGATGACCACGACGCCATTTTCTCTGACTTAATCTCCATCAGGATGCGTAAAGACAACACCGAATCATCCACCGGCCATAACCTGCAACAACCTCCCTCCATCTCCTCCACCAATCAGCTCCCCACACGTGTCTCCGACGCCTCCGCCCCCACCTCATCATCACCCAACGATTTCCCCTCCACTCCCTCCCCTCTCCGTCGGTCTCAATCGAGGCTCCAATTCTTCATCAGAATGATCTCCGACGGCACTCACATTGTGATCACTGCGAATTTGACTGATTCCGTCAAATCACTCCATGAACGGATTCGCGAGATGACCGGAATTCCTGTGATCGAGCAACGACTAATCTACGAGGGTAAGCAATTGCAATACGAAAACAAACTCTCCGATTACTCTATCGAGAAGGATTCGATTCTTCATTTAGGTGGCCGAATGCGTAGCACTAGGCATCCCCGTACTTGTCAATTGATCAATGATATGGTTTCCTACATTTGTCGAATTTGTAAGTCTATTTTGCCGTGTGGTTTTCATCAATATGTTTCAAAGCAGATAAAAGAGTTGATGCATCAGTTCTTTATCTTGACACCGAAGGATGATAATGAGGATGCTTTAGGACATTTGAATGTGTTTTTATCGAATAGTGCGCCAGCTGCGCTGGTCACTCTCTATGTTTCGAGTGTTAAAGGGAATAAGGAGTGCGCGGAGGGTGCGATTAAGCATTTTTTGAATTCATGTAGGAATTCGTTGCCAAAGAATTTGCATTTGCAGTGTGTTCCGATTGTGATGGAGTTTTGCAATTTGTTGAGGAAGGTTGGGAGTGATGATCCATTGTATATTGTGTGTAGGAGTTGTCTTGGTTCCTTGTTGGAGAATGGTGGGGGTGCATGTGGGTGGAGGTATCGAGGAGGGGAGGAGGGGAAGGGAGCTGTTGTTATGCAGGAGATTTTTCCGTTTGTTAGTGAGCTGGGGAGTAAGTTGTTTAAAGATTTGATGGGGAGTGTGGGGCCATCAGTAGTTGATGTGAAGGATTTTTCAGCGTTTTTGGTACCATTGCATAGTATGATATCAGAGCAGGGGGCATGTAGGGTTCCGGTTTCGGTGCCGTTGAACAAGAGGGCATTTAATTATCCATTGTATGCGAAGGAGATTGAGCATCTTCATGTGATATTTTTTGATTTGCTGAATATTATGGAGAAATGTCTTGGTAAAATGCAGGATTCTTCACATTTGAAAATGAATGGAGAGGGTGAGTTGAATCATACAGGCTGGTCTCAATATTTGGCTATTTTGAAGGAGTTGAACAACATTGCTAAACTCTATAAGGGTGCTGAGGAAAAGTTTTGGACAGTTTTGAGACTTAGAAAGGCTTCCCTGTGTGTGCTGATTGTTAGATATGCAAAAAGAACTGAAGATCATCAGTGGCTTCTTCGGAACAAGGATGTGACTGATTTTGAGTCTAGGAGGCATTTGGCTATGATGATGTTCCCTGAGGTGAAAGAAGATTACGAGGAGCTTCACGAGATGCTCATTGATCGGTCACAATTGTTGGCAGAGTCATTTGAGTACATAGTGCATGCCGACTCAGATGCACTGCATGGTGGTCTTTTTCTGGAATTTAAAAACGAGGAAGCTACTGGTCCTGGTGTATTGCGGGAGTGGTTTTTCTTGGTTACACAAGCTCTATTTGATCCTCAAAGAGCTCTTTTTGTGGCATGCCCAAGTGATCGCAGAAGGTTCTATCCTAATCCTGGTAAGCTTCTGCTGCCTGAATGCTAGTGGGTTTTCTCTTTTCTTGATTGGATATATAGGGCTACCAATCCTGGTAACAAAACAAGAAAACCCTAATCATGAATGCCTTACATGAACAATGCTACAGGGTTCTCTCTTCTCTCAATTGAATATAGTTTTTGATGATACGAATGGTTAAACAATATATTCAATTGCCTTGTGTCTAATATGTCACTCCAGCATAGAGTTTGGAACATTGTTGCATATATTTTCACTGGATAATAAAAAATACTCAGATGACCAAAATGTGCAGTTCCTGCAGTCTATAGGAACTTACATTTAATGTGTAATGATGCTGTATCCATCACCTACAACCATTCAAGAAGCACTTGTACTTCATTTAGTTTATGTTGCTAGTGGGTGAGATCAGCTCATGTGGAATTGTTTCACCCAAATTAATTTTGGAAGTCAAAATTAGGATTGAAGTGATAATTTTTGGTTGGGGTGAAACTTCATGTAATTAACCGTTCATGTTTTTCTGAGAGTTGGATTTTTTTTTTGAACAACAGTTGCAATTAGGTTTGTGAATGTTTTATTATGTAAGTTGGATTTGCTCTCTTCTCAACTGAATTTTTATTCCCAGGTAATACTGAATATGTAAACAATACGTTTTCATTGCTGTGTGTCTAATGTTTCAGATTGTGGGCTGCGTATTTGTTTTCATTTACACTGGAAAGTAAACATTCACTAAATGGTGGTGGAGAGCTCCGACAGTTTATTTGAGTTGACACTAATATGGTCGATGCTGTATCAATCACTTACAACCATTGGGGGATTATTCTTCATTGTTTAGATACATGCTAGTGGGAGGACATCTGGAAGTGTTACACCTAAACCTGGAGAATTTGACATTTAATATTCAATTTTAGGCATGGTCAGGATTTAATTAACATTTTTTAGAAGTTAGACAGTTTTCCTACACTTGATGTAATCTTGGGGGGCTTAACGTGGTGGAACCTTCTCAGTGACCTTAATCAAAGATATTTCACTAATAGTGCTTGGATTTTAACTGTGCAAGAGATCATTCACTGCATTCTCTTAGTGTTCTTTCTCTAACATTTATATGTAGAAAAGTTGTTTACCATGTGAGTTCCTGATGGACGTGGGATAAGGGCATTACATCCTGTACGATAGGCTCACTAGCATAGGTTTGTTAAAGGGAAAATTCCTGAACCTTGTGTGTCACAAATATTTTATTGTGGAATACCTGAGTCCCTAGGGTTATTATACAGGAATATTTCCCATGTTTCTCCAACTCTGTTACCTGAATTCCATGTTTCACTAATATGTTATTGGTTCCTTTGGGGATTAACATGTCTAATTCTTCCTCTGCATTAAAATTGCAATTGGTTAGTTCTGAAATACCTCATTGAAGAATCATAATTGAGGTTTGTTATTGTCCTGTTTCTGGACTTGAATTAAGCTGCATCATCTTTCGTGGATTCAATTGTTGGCATGGATAAGCACTAACAAACAAAAGTATATATATGGACTTAATTGTATTCATTTTATGTGCAGCATCCAAGGTGGATCCCATGCACCTTGAGTATTTCACATTCTCTGGTCGAGTAATGGCTTTAGCTTTGATGCATAAAGTGCAAGTCGGCATTGTATTTGATCGGGCATTTTTCTTGCAATTGGCTGGGATGCGTATTACTTTGGAAGACATACGGGATGCAGATCCATGCTTGTATAGCAGTTGCAAACAGATTCTGCAAATGGATCCTGAGTTCATTGATTCAGATGCTTTGAGTCTGACATTCGTTAGAGAAGTTGAGGAACTAGGATCCAGGAAAGTTGTGGAACTTTGCCCTGGTGGGGAGAGTATCGTTGTAAATAGCAAGAATCGGGAGAAATATGTCGATCTTCTCATTCAGCACTGCTTTGTCACATCAATCTCTGAACCAGTATCTAGATTTGCACGTGGTTTTGCTGATATTCTTTCAAACTCTGGGCAACAGAAGCTCTTCTTCCAGAGTTTAGAGCTTGAGGATCTTGATTGGATGCTATATGGAAGTGAAAATGCTATCTGTGTGGAAGATTGGAAGGCACACACTGAGTACAATGGCTACAAGGAAACCGATCCTCAGATATCCTGGTTATGGAAGGTATGTTCTTGCATTCTTATGTTCCTGTCATATCTCAACTATAAAGTGCTTTCTTTTACCATATACTTTGCTCTTTCTTCCCATATATCTGGATTTCATGATATGAGTTATAATCTTTATGTGCTGGATAATATATTTCCTTGGAAAATAACATATCTGCAGAGTGCACACTGTTGCTCTTTTCCTTTCATATTTCTTGGAAATATCTTTGGTTCATTGTTTTCTAACATGGCAGAACAATCCCTATCTGCGTATCCTTACCAGGTGTGCTGCTGTTTTTCCTGCATGAGTAAAGCCTAAATACTATGTGAATGCAATTCTTTCTATTGTACGAGGCTGTGGAAAAAAGGACATGCAAGATTGCGTGGCATTTCACCATTTTACAGCTGCATGTCAGTTTATCTCTTTGGTCAATTAATTTGAAGCTGAAAGATGTATGACTAAGTTCTAGACATACAATAAATACCAAAGCAATTCAAATTGCTGTCCATGTTTGTCTTGTCAAATTTACAAGTCATCTTGAATCTCAAATGCTCAAGGTTGTGTCATGAATTCCTCAGCATACTGATGATGTTGTGGTTGAATAAGGAAGAACATAAGGAACTTGGTTTGGGTTCTTGAAGATAACATTTAAGAGTTTTTAAGTTATGTCATTATACGAAGTTTTGTGTTGAATTTTGAACACATATTATTCATGCAGGCATTTACATGAAAACAAATGCCAAAGTGTTGAACATTCATGTTATTTTGATTGCACTTATGTGTGAAAGGGCAGAAGGTTGCTGCTGTGGAGTTAGAGCATAGGGGGTGTGGTTAGGATGTCATACTTACCTTAACAAGCATGCCAGGTTTGGGAGGGGGTACGGACAGTTGAACGAGTGTAGATTTTGTTTCAATATTTTTTCCTCTTTCTGTGCATGTCTGTGTGATTGGTTGGGGAAGAAATGTTTTAGATTCAGATACAAATTGAAAACTGAAACAAAAAGAGGGATCAGTGGAAAATAAATAAATATTTTATCTTTGAAATCAACCTTGAATTATGTTTATTTAATTTCCAATTCCATTTCGTGGTACGGGTGGGCCCTGGGAGGGGGGATTCATTTGTCAAAAAACACTACTTTTGAGCAATCTTAATATATCCATGATTGAATTCTCTGCAAGTTTTTGGGTTTTTCATGTTGGATGGTCTCTTTATCCCATCAACATTGTGGAGTTGATCTTATTTATTTGTTAGGTGATAAAATTGTGTGCGTGGTTTCCTTTCAGTTTTGTTGCGCCACTAATAATAGAATGCCTGTTTCTTGGTATGATCCATTAGGTTTTGTTGTACTCATAAATAATATTCCAGGTACTTGAAAGAAACTAGTCAAAACCCATGCAGTCCATGGTGAGCTGGAATGAGGGTAGATTTTGTTCTTTAACCTCCTTTGTTTGCAGAGTGAGCTGTGCAAAGCAGAAATAAGATACATATTGTTTTGGATATCAGCCTTAGCATATCTTTGATAACAATGCGTGGTTGGAGTGATGCTCGTTGTCAAGGCACTGCTTTTGAGCAAGTTTGCCATGTCCATTTAGGTCTATAATAGGTTCTCTTCTCTCTTTATACCTGTGTTTCTTGTAAGTTCTTTATCCCATTACTAGGGTTTTGGAAATCAGCCTTATAAGCGTATCTTTGATAACATTGTGTGGTTGGAGTGATGCTCATTGTCAAGGCACTGCTTTTGAGCACGTTTGTCATGCCCATTTGGGTCTTTAATAGGCGCTCTTCTCTATTTATACCTGTGTTTCTTGCAAGTCCTTTATCCCACTACTAGTGTGGAGTTGACCTTATTAATTTGTTACTCATCAAAAACTGAGGATGTGGGTTTCCCTTAAACTTTGATTTATCACCAATAGTAGGATGGCTGTCTCTTGCTTGGTGCATTATTTTTTTATTCACACACTCAACGAATGATACTCAAGGGACTTGAAAGAAACCAGTAAATACACATGCACTCAATGGAAGGTATTAAAGCCTTTTGCCCCCCTAGAAAGCTAGATTAGCATGCAATATACTGAGTTTTATTCCTGAAGTCTTCGTAGTATTAGTTATATCTTTGATCTTAAAAATATTCATGCGAATGTGCTTGTATTTGCACTCCTGGACCTTGAGTTTTTACCAGTCAGCTGCAGTTGAGATAGTCCCACCTCTGCTGCTTCGTAGTAGAGTTCTGTCAGAGGACAAGCATTGCTTGTTATTTTATATATATCTTGTGCTTGAATATTTTGCAGATCATTGGGGAAATGTCACCAGATCAGAGAAAGGTTCTGCTCTTCTTTTGGACCTCAGTGAAGTATCTACCTGTTGAGGGTTTCCGCGGTCTGGCCTCGCGACTTTACATTTACAAGTCGACAGAGCCTCACAATCACCTCCCTTCATCTCATACATGCTTTTACCGATTGTGTTTCCCACCTTATCCCTCCATGGCTATTATGCAAGATCGCCTCCGTCTCATCACTCAAGAACATGTTGGATGCAGTTTCGGCACCTGTTGATGCATTGGTTGCATGCATCCACTTTGAGGTTAAAGGGGTTTTTTTTTACTGCACATAGATTTCAAGTCGGTTTGTACAGATAGATTTATGCTGTCAGTTTTATTAGACTATGTAAGAAGGTCCCGTAGTTAATTTATGTTTCCTCCAGTAAAGTTGAGATGTCATTGTTCTTTCTGTCCAACTGTTAGTATAGGTATAGCGTAAATAATGCTGGGGGCTAGTAGGAAGAAAATCTCTATGCTCCCAATGGACTTCCTTCATCAGCAACAGTAGCTGTTTTTTCATGTCATGTAAGTACACAGATTATGCAATGACATCCAAGTTCATAGAAAGGTGATTATTCTCTCTTCTCTCTCTTGCAAGTCCAAAAATGGTGGAAGATTCAAACGTTTCTCTTTGAGAAAAATCTGTAAGTTATTCTTCCGTTCAGCATCTATATTTGTGCTTTGTATCTGTCGAACTACTCTTCCTGTGCTTCCGATTTTCTCCCTTCGTATTTTCTTTCCCAAATCAGCTGAGATGGAACAGTGTTAGCTTTCGTCTAATTTGAGCTCTATCAACTTAGGGTTTTATTTTGCTAATGATCCTTTGTGATTCACAGATTATTAGGTCATCTGAAAGGCTATCTTCATCATGTGAAGGCACATGATGCAACAACCTTTTCCCGTGAAAGCACCTTCAAATATAGGTCCACTGCACATTCCCCCTTTTAGACTCAATCAAGCATCTAGGCTTCTCTTTATCACAATCTGACATTGTCTTTTGCCTTTGTCATGCCTGATCCTGTATGAGTCTTGTTATGGATTTGCGAGTCGGGCGGAGTTTTTCTTTGATATGTCATCTCCAATTATTGAATTGCATGATGAAGCTTATCCTACAGGATTTAAAATTGACCGGTATATTTCTCATCGTTGTGGCACCAAGTTGTTGTCGCCATTCATAGAAGGGACCTGAGCCACCTGACATTGCACATCTTTCCATTGGAAAGAAGCCAGTGTAAACTTGTCTTGGCCTTCACAGATTCAATTTCACATGCCATGTCATATAAGTGCAATCAAGATTGCCTTTGCAAATTTGTCATGTTGAAAAAAGTAGATGAAAAGGATGGGAAGGATTAATTGGGACCTTGTTATTTCCTAGAAAACGACTTTGAAAAGCTTGAAAAGCTACAGAAGCCGCATATTTCATCAAAATTATACCAATATTTGATGCAATGATGTTGCATGGAATGGAGGCGATGGGTGTCTGTTTTTATTTAGATATAATTCTATTCCGGTCAGATCTGATATGAACTGAACATTGAATCTGACTCGATTTTAGGTTACAAATTCATAACTCTAGCATCGACTCAATTATAGATTATAAAATTCGTAACCCTGGTCTATTCTTATTATTTTTTGGTGTTTACATATATTAAATGTCTTGTAGACAACATGACTCGAACCTTTTAAAGAAGATAGGTTTTGTTTCTTCATCATAAGGCATTATTTGATTGTGTGATAAATTTTTTGGAGCTGTTTTCAAATCAGAGAAAATTTATATTGATGTTTTTTTTATTGATTTTAATGTTTTTTTCATTTAAAAAAGCAATAATTTATCGATTCTCAGGGTACTTCAGAAAAGCCTTTCCGACCGAATTACCAAATACACACAGCAAATCTCGTAACTTCCACAGCTAGGAAGAATATCCCAATTGCTTTGGCCTGGAATTCTACTGCTGCAAACAGATACTGAGGGATGATTCACACCTACATTCAAGATTCATGCTTTGGACTTCATACTAAAACCTTGGGAAGCCATATTTTTCAATAAATAGAAGCAAAGAAAAATAGCAATAGAAAGTGCTCATCAACTAAACATAAATTATAATTTTTATTATCAAGCCTAGAGATCACATCATCACACCATTTCAAAACCAATAGTACCTATTGGAACCCGCATAGATCCAAACCCCATGCCAACATCATGAGTCATGGCTCATGACCCTTACACTTCAATAGCAACTATCCTTGTTGTGTATTCTGACCTGGGCTGGCAACCTGATGCGGATCCAAGTGCTTAATATTGACTCTATAGCTTCCACATCCCATGCATAATCCCACCGAAAACCCTTTTCTTTAGCCATAATCATAAATCAATAAAGAGAGAAATGAAACAAAACAGAAACCTCTGAGGACTTTGACGATGCAACCTCACAGACACAAAGACCCCAACCAGTACTATTATTCACTTCATAGAATCTATTCACTCAGTGATCTCCACTGGAACTTCTGTGCTGGTTGTCTCTGCAGCTGGTGCTTCAGCTGGCTTCTCTTCTTCTGCTGGTTTCTCTTCCTCAACAGGAGCTGGCGCTGCCTCCTCCTTGGTCTCTTCTTTGGGCTCCTCAGTAACAGTTTCTGCAGGAGTCTCTTCTACTGCTGGAGCTGCAACCTCTTCAGGCTCAGCTTTTGCTGGTTCTTCTGCAACCTCCTTGGTTTCAACCTCAACTGCAGGTTCAGCTTCAGGTTCTGCGGCCGGGGCAGCAGCGGGTGCTGCTTCTGTTGGTTCTTCGGCTACTGGCGCAGAGCCAGGTGGTGCAGTTTCTGTGGTTGTCTCCTCGGTCTTGGTCACCTCAGGTACCTCAGTCTCTGGAATTGCTGGAGCAGCTGCAACCTGCAACAATAAGCATACTGATATTTATCCCAAAATGTATAATCCAATGGAAGAAAGCTAGAAGGGTTCTTTAAGATTCATTTTTTCTTAATCATCTTCTCATCCATTCTATCTACAGAAGTAGTTTCCTTTAACAACAATCAACAAAAGCTTAGAATATGTAGAATTCTTGCTAGAACATAAAGAAACCTGTAGGTTGATCAAGAAAATTAGAAGTTGCAATAAACTGAAAGATGGAATCCTCTCCATCGCAATCCTCATATAAAAAGGATCGGATGAAATCTAGCGTAGATAATGGATTGATATATCACTTGAGCTAGAGGTAGAAATTTGATCATCATCAATACAACAAGAAGGTTATGAAGCTTATTTGATCATAAAAGTAGTAAACAACAAATTATAACTTGATCAGTAAGATAAAATAATACAAAAGGGCTAATCAATTAATACAAGTTGATGAATATCAGATATTATTGTAAAACTAAAATGAGACTGAGTGATCTATCACTTGAGCAAGATCAAGATGGGTTGTAATAGCATTCCACTAAGAAATATTTTACAAGAGATTTTACCTCAACAGTAGCCATTTGGTTGAAAGCTAATAGGATTTGAAGAAAGATCGGAGGAAAGGAATAAGGAGGGTTGGTGTAGGCACAAGAGAAGGATGCTTGTGAGCTAGTGAAGTGAAGAGATGATCAACGAGAGAGCTATTTATAGAGGAGTAAAATGCATAGATTAATAAGAGAATGAGAGCATGAGATCATAGGGAGCATGCTCACTTGAAGAATCTTTCAACATAGACACCTCATATTGCTGTCAAGACACAGTAGCATGTCTTGCTAGTTGTAAATATTTTATTTCTTTTTTAATTTTGAGATAAGGATTTTTTTTTATATATGATTTTAATAGCTAGGATTGACAAATAGTTGATCCAACAATGAATTGGCAATGCCATATGGTGGAGGCCATTTCTCATATCAGCATCATATCTTTCTTTTGAGTGGGGTTCCTATGTGTTTTTTTTTTTTTTTCTCCAGTAGGGCATAGTGTAGGTTAATTACTGCTTAAATCTCATACGATGCATTCATGTTTCTGTGTAGGATTTCTATTTGATCTACTGTTAATTGGTAATATTCTAATTAACCTTGCATTTTTTTTTTAATCTTTTGATATTTTAGAAGAATATCAACTGTTAGATCATATTGATATCTAAATGGATAAGAATTCATGTTGTTTTTCTTTTCAATTTATGTTGTTTGGATTCATATTTGTATTCAATCCATTATTCATGTACAAATATTCAATATCAAACACAAATACTCGGATAAAATAAAAGATTTTTATATAAGATTTATTTGTTTCTCATCTTAAAAAATTAGAAATCAAATCCCACTTTATATATAATGCAAAGAAGGTGCAAGATTCTACCAAAAAAATATTAAAAAAGAAAGAAATAATAATCAAATAAACTCTGTAATTATTGAAATAAAAAAAATGGTGTATACACTATTGCAAACCCTAAAAAAAGACAGAAATGGTGTCTCATCCAAGAATAATCAAGGCTCCTTAGTGCTAATCTTCATGATAATCAAAACCAGTGGCGTGCAAGTAATGACAAATTTATTTCATATTTTGACATAATCACATGCCAAGCTGTATATTTGTATGTACTAATGGAGTACAAAAATAAAATAGTTTTGCCATTTGAGAACATCAAGATCTTCAGCCATCCACGTTATAGTTGAATGAAGATCTTGTCCATAATTGTTTTGTTTAATTATTCCCAATTATTCTAATTAAGTAAACTTATAGATAGACGAGTTTTATTTTTTTTTGTTCGATTATTATTATTATTATTATTATTATTATTATTTTGCATATATATATAGATTGGAACGAGGATTTGGGAAGCTATGATATTGATGCATGCATAATATTTTTCAGTCGAACCCTAATTATGCTTGCTTTTTATTTTATCATTTCACCATTTTGGATTCAAATTTATATGAAGGTTATAAGGGGAAAAAATATCATAAATTTAAATATATTAATTCGGATATATATGAAATGATGTGTTTAAAAATTGATAGAAAAATAACTTAATCTTGAAATATTGAAACTAACTTGATATACTTTCATAATTAAAACAAATATATACACACACATATACATAATTTTTTTAAATCATTTTTAGTATAAATATCAGTTATTATATAGAAATTAAAGAGATTTTTTGTTCAAAAGTAAGGAATATATCTTCAAACAAGTTTTTGTATCAACAGTGATATCTTCACTTCCAAACTAAAAATATTAAATAATAATTTATAATTTAAAAATATAAATATAACCATAATCACACCTGTATTTCCAAACACATGTTAAATATTAGTTTTAAATTTTTAAAACTCACATTTTATATTAATGTAATTCTAATAAAAAGTTGTATTAAAAAACACAAGCAAAATTATATCCTTGTTTCCAAACTAAAAATATTAAAATAATATTTTTTTATTTATAAATAAAGATGTGCAATTATGTTTTCAATTTAATTCTAATAAAAAATTGTATTAAAAGACACGGGCAAAATTATATCCTTGTTTTCAAATTAAAAACATTAAAATAATGTTTTTTTATTTATAAATAAAGATGCAATTACAATTATATTTTTGTTAACAAACAAATTCTAAATATTTTTTTCACATAATTTAAAAAACATAACTCATATATTAATGTCATCAGTTGAAAAAGTGAAAAAGTAAAGGTGTTTTTTTTAAATAAAATTTAATAAATATTAACTTTGAGATATGTAGTATAATTGGTTAGATTTTAAATTTATTTTTTAAAAATTATAAATTCAAGTGCTGTAAATCTCAAAATTATTAAAAAATTATATAATTTTTAATTTTTAAAAATTAATTAAAATGTATATAAGATAACTCAGACGGCTCTACAGTTTAAAAAAAAAATATTCAACAAGTATTTGGCGGCAGCTTTGGCATCTACACATATAACGGTAGTATTAGGCCAAAGAAAGGCTAATTGAAGGCACTTTTAGGGCATGAAAACAATAATTAAGGGCCTGCCTTTTACTGTTGTGGTCAAATAATTTGCCATTTTTAAGGTTTTTCACCTTTTCACTTTCCACAAACCACAAACATTTTGATATTTTAGTATCGACGTGGAGCCCAGCCCAACAAAAGCCAGCAATGGTGTCTAGGCCGGTGCCTGAAGTGGGGCCTTCAATCACCGGCTATGATCATTACCATCCAAATGACTCCTGCCGGATGGCCCCCACAACAAAAATTGAACCAATTTTGGTGCCATGGTTTTTATCTCTTCATGGTAATGTTCTCAAGTTGTTTTTATATATTAATTTCACTTTACTTTTCGTTTTTAATTAGATTAAAACAAGTTTTTCTTATTGATATTGAGATTTCGAATAGCTAGTTTTTTTTTTTTAAATGCAGGTAGTATAAAAACTTGTGTGGTGGTAAGAACAAAATACTTATAAATAAAAGTAAGTTTATTTTTTAAATAAATTTTTATCCTTTCAATATATATATATATATATATATATATATATATATATTTCCATCTTAATTATCATTTCTGGTTTTAAAACAATATTTAAATATAATTTAAGGATTCATAATAAAAAAATTTATTATCATTTATACAAAAATATGTTAAGATATCAACCGTATATATTAATAATCTTATGGTTTCATTTTCAGTATGATTTGATTGAAATTAAGAGATTGATGGAGATTTAACTTCTTTTTTTTGAAAAAAAAAAAAAATTGAATTATAGTACCAGAAAAGAGTACCATGGACCATGGTTTTGCTTTCTTCTTTTATTTTTTCCTTCTTTATATATATATAACCCTTTTATATATATATATATATAGCCTTGGAAACCGACCTTCCTAAAGGTGGAGCTTTTGGTGGGCCAACGTCTACTTTCCAGGTAGGGCTCTCGTGATGTTGGGACCCACTTTCAGCCGTCTGATTTGCCACGCTTGATCACAGTCTTTCATCTGATCATATCTTCGTATAATGCCATCTCATTACTCAAAGACCAAAAAAAAAAAAACCCTTCCACACATGGCATTTTTTAGGCTAAAAATCTTGTATTTTAATATCATCTACTATATTTATGAAAAAATTATATTAAAAAATTCATTATGGATACATAATTAATCTATCTAAAAAGTAATTAAAAATGTATTTTCTTTTTCAATCTTTGTATTTTGATTGAGACAATCTATTTTTATTTTATTTTCCAGAAAAATGCTAGACATCCAAAATTCAAAACAACCGGAGGAAAAGGTAATTTATCGGTAAAGAAAAATGAACAAATTAAATGTGCATCGCATCTCAATTTAAATTCATGTACATGTTGATCAGGACTTCCAAACTTGTAATGGTAATTAAAATACCATAAATGTGTTCATAACAATAAATAAATAAATAAATAGAAGAACTTACATTTAAACCACAGTATTAATTACTCAAATTGTTGAACAACATTCCTCTCTTTAATTTACCTTCATTACTACATATAGACACACACACATCATGAAATGTTGATATATAGGAGAAGAAAGCAATCAAAATATAAGAATGTTTGTGGATTCATCTATGAATTGGTTTGTTTCTAACGTTAATTATTGTTTATATTTAAGTTTAAAGAAAAAAAAAGAAAAAAATAATAACTTTTGACATGTTAAGAATGTATTTTTAATCGAAAAGCAACTAAAAATTCAATTAATGATTTTTTTGGAAAAAAATAAATAACATGGTAAAAAAACAGATTCATCTACGCAAACAAACACTTGGTGTATAAAACTAATATAAAAATATATTGGCCCATAAAGAATTTTCTTCTGAAAAAAGAACTATAGATAGGAATGGCGCGTGTGTCATCTTCTCGTTGCCTGTGCATGGACACACTGTAAAGTGAGAAAGAAGAGATGGGAGGTTAAGAGGGATCCTAAATACGTGATCCCATAAGATATATTATGAGCCGTTGAGCAGGTTGGAACATGGCACATTGGATCATGGCTTGAAATGGGACAGCATGGGCTAACCCTAGTGGCTTCTTATAATTGATTACATCAACACCCCCAATGGCCATGATTTATAGACAGAGGAAGCTGTGGACTGTGTAGTGAATCATTTAGGTTCTTGACAGATGAACCATTTCTATCAAGCTTTCTGTGGGGCCATAAATCAACATTCCTTCAACTATGCTTGTCACCCTTTAAAAGGTCGTCGTCTGCGTGTGTGCACCATCTAGGCTAGGCTAGATTTGACGCAAAGTTTCTGTAGAGATCGGGAGTTTCACGCGTATAATATACCCGCGTGTTTGTATATCAAAACAATTTTAAAAAATAAGAATAAAATAGATAAACAGTGTTTCAGATGTAATACCTAAACACCTGCTGGATTGTTTGTACTTCAATGATCGTGTATATACAGTATAATCGAAGGTGCAGATAGCTTATAGATTTTAGATAAAATCCACAGACGATGAGGTAAACATGAAATAATACTTCTTGAAAGACCATCTATATATCGGATTTGATCTAACATCATTTGTAGTATCGCATTGCTCTATGTATTTTCAGCTCTTAAGCTTCTCAACTAGGGATCAGGAATCAAGAACCTATGCAGCATGTAAGCTTCGAGTATCCCCTATCTCCTCAAAAAAAAAAAAAAACATTTTCAAAACAAAACCCACTATAAATCTAGGAGTCCAAACAACACATTTTAGAAGACCAATTATGTAACGAATTTATGCCAAGATCATCGTATTAATTATGTCTGGTATTTTGGCTGCTAAGATTCCAACAAGTTTGGTGTAAAAGGAGCTTTCAATGCCGCCATATCAGGAAACTTTATAGCGGGAGGTAACATTTTATTGTCATCTAGATTCAGCATGTCAATGCTTTTTAAGCATGCATGTAATAAGCATAACACAAGCCCATAACGTGTCCAAGCATGCAAGAGCCAAGAAGCAGCATCTCAGGACGTACAGGTTTGAAGTTTCAAACCTTGCCAGGTTCAGAGACGTACCGTTCTTCCTTCTCTAAAATTCAACTGAAATTTGCAAGCAAATCTTGTAAATGAAACTGATTGATATAAAAGGGAGAGCACAGAGTACAGTACAGAAATAGATAATAGCTCCTCTAGATATGAAATTTCAGTATTTGGAACTTGAGAGGGAAATCCACTCTGAGGGTGGCCCAGGGACAGCTTTATGCTGCTAAATTTTCTGCTATAACTTGGCATTCCACCTGGTCAATAGTTAAAGTGTTTAACAAAAGAAGGGGGGCAGCTCCGACAGGATACATCAATGAAGGTTCGAGGTGACAGAAGTTTCCTCCCACCAACACAGAATGTCAGCTGAAGCTGAATCTGTTTATCTTTTGAATCTTGTAAAGTTCCCACCACATATGATGGCTATCGAGTAATAATGCAATTTACTGTAAACCCTGGAGAAAAAGAAACAAAAACCATAGGATTGCTCAACCCACTAGATAAAGGCATCACTGGTTCGTCCAATCGCAGAAAAAAGAAAGAAAAGATACAAAAATCAAGCATTATCTAAAACCTAGCATCATAACACACTACCTGGTAATTGATTTCATTTGTCGAGTCATTAATATGTTTCAAATGTTCTTGGACAGCAAGCTGAAAGATATGCGTTTACAGGGAAAGTATGATATTACCACCAGCAGTGTGGAAAATTTCTCCAACGGTTGTTATAATACTCGAATTCAATCAATCTACATGCTACAATAATGGATTCGCTGGTTCTTATGATTGTTAGCCAACGCACTGACAGCGAACAAGCAAAACTCCAGTAAGAATCTATGAAAGAACAAGGATGCCTTGTTGAGCATAAACCCATTTGGCAGCTGGGGGCTTGTTGCCGAAGTTCAGCTCACAAGTTTTTTCAACACTGCTTCAGCACGCTGCTCAAATTTTGGTAGGGCCCATTCATGCTGAATTATGTCAAGGCCATCTTTCTCAGCACTCAAGTTCTGAGGAGGATACAGATAGATAAGATTAGAAGTCAATAGTTTTTGGCTTAACATTATACGTACAGATATATATTCACCGAGTTAAAATATGAAAGATAAGTCGTATGGTACAAAATTCTTTCTTGGTACATCTCATACTTGAACCATATATTTAACTGATTACAAGGCAAGGCCAGTGGACATTCTTTCCCATAAAATTTAATTTAGATTTAAAAAGGACAAATCAGTCCCAACAATTCCAATCTCTTTGGAAAATGCAATATATTCACACCTTTCCAGATCTTCCATTACCTGGCTAAAAATTCGACTGATGAAAACGGGGATCAAGAATGTTGTCGGGGTCCCATAAGAAAGATTCTCAACAATAAAAAATCAAAACCCTAATCATGCACAAGACATTTCTAAAGTAACAAAGAAAAAGAAGCCAATGCTGTTCAGAAAAGCAGGTTAGTAATGATGGTGACATGCTTAGAAATTTAAAACAAATTAAAGCAGGCATCATGGAATGCCCCACATGCCTAATCATGTATACCTATGACCATTTCATAAGAGTATCATAACTGCTCCACCTGAGGAGCAAAAGAGTGGCCAAGGCTGCAAAATGGACATCTGGAAATGGTGGCAGCAGCCATAAGAGAGGCTAGCCAAACAGAGAATGAGCATGACAGCGTTGACCTGAACCAAGCAAGTCCTAACTTTATAGCGTTGACCTCATTATTATGAATCAAATCCCACATTATGCTTTCTTTTTCGTGTGTGCAGTGGGGGGAAGGTGATTGGGGGTTCTGTAAAGAATCTCCAATGTTATTCTTTTGGCGTTCGCTTCAATTGGTGCAAAATGATAGAGGATCCAGACATGCAGTTATCCAGAACTGACCATACCCAACCCACAATAGCAAACCTAGGCCCAGTACTGAGAAAATTAAGCTGGCCAAGGGCAACCTCAAGGCTGTCATCTCCTTACTCAGTGTCTTGACCATTCCTGCCTGCAATAATCCTTTTACAGCCCACCAGTCAAATCAGTCTAATCACAACCCATTCTCGGCATAGTGCTAGCAAAAAGCCTTCTATTTTCGTGGGAAGTGGGGGCAGATAATAATAAAAATAAAAAGAGCTATATAAACAATACTAATCACAAGGACAAGTTCAAGTGCAATTTAAAGCCCTTCAATTGACAAAGTTATACTCTTCTGAAATATAACTGGGGATCCATAACTAATTCTATCATACAGAAATCTAAGAACCTATATCAATGATATAAGGACTTCCTTTAATTCCAAATCATCTGCTATTTTAGCTTTTCCCAGAAAAGAAAAGGGCAAAAAGGAGAAAAAAGGCATGCTGCATAACAGACAGTTGAGCTAACTGGACCACTTGAGAACTCAATATGATAAGCAATGCCTGCAAGTGATACTAATGAAAAGGTGCAACCGATGACCTACAGCATCAAAGTATTTTTGGACAGCATTGACAACAGGCAGGACACAATAAGGAACCACCTGGATACCTGTTACTGAAACACCAGCCCCAGTGTTTGCAATGAGTCTATATAGAAGCTATCAACTTCTAATGAACCCTTGAAACCCCATCAGCCATCAACAACTCATGAAAGGACATGGTAGTCTTGCTTAGTTGGTAGTTGGTAGACAATGGAAACCTGTTACCTAAACACCAGCACCAGTGCTTGCAACAAGTCTATATGGAAGCTGTCTACTTCTAATGGACCCTTGAAACCTCATCAACCATCAACAACTCATAAAAGAACCTGGTAGTCTTGCTTAGTTCGTAGTTGGAAGACGCTTGTTGCTTCTAGCACCATTAAATCGCCAGGTCTAAAATTCTAGTTGTACTTATAGAGGTTTGAACTGTCCCATTTAAATATGGTCCAACAATTTCTTAATTTCTTTTTCTCATTTAAATAAAAAGACTTAGCTGTTAAGATGCATCTAAATAACTTGATTCAACTCGCAATCATCTCTATTCAAATCTGAGTTGCTAGTAAAACCACTGAATCTAAAGATTTTGTTCATGATAGAATCATAAAGATGTATCATGCCTTTGCCTTTTTCACACAATGATGGGATCACAATTAAATAACTGGAAACTACTTAACTACAAAGCCGTATAGTCCCAGTGACAGTATCCATCTATTCTCATTAGTACAGCCTAGGCAGTATCAATCTACATGGTCTAGATTTAGGACAGTAAAATAGAAACCAGAAGATCAATACACAAGGGCAATTCTTTGGACACAATAACAGTCATGCTGCAATCGATGTAGTAAGGATGTTATTATTAATAACTAAATCTGTTCAAAAAGATCGTGTAAATACTCATTATAGCTAGTAGTCAAAAAGGACTGAAAATATCTATAATGTTTAACCATTTAAACAGTTTGGTTTTGCAAGCTAAAATGATCAATAGAGGGCCAGTTAAGCTTGTACCTTGGTTGGATCAAAACCCAAACCACCCATTTGCATCATCCGCTGGGTATCATCCATAGCTGCATTACAAATATTGTATTTGAGCATCTAGAGAATATATCCAGAAATCATCAAGTATGCAAAAGTCCAATTTATGCTTCTAGACTCTGGCACCAATGATTTTGCAAGAGAAGCATCAATTCGGATCTCAGACAAAATAGACATAACAACTACGAAGATTTATGAACTAACACTAACCATTTTCTTCACCCAGAATGAGACTAAATAAACCCCTTAATCCAAACAAATTAAGGAAATACCTGCAAAAGAAAGGGATTGTGGACAAATAGAGATATTAAACTAAGCACAAGTCCAGAATTCTCTAGAAAAAGATTCTCAGCAATTTTTCAGAATACAATTTCTCATACAGACAAATACCATGATCGACTGCTGACATAGCTAACATCCACAGTGCTCAAATCAATCCCATTTTGCAGCATTGATCTGAATCTCTGAGTCAGTGGAAATGGTATCTTGGCTGCACGGGATAAGAGATCATAACAAAGTTGTAAAGATCAAATCCAGAAGGAATTTAAGATTGACAAAGGGCATACACTCATAAATTACTTATTACATATAGAGATAAACCATATTTTGGTGTGAGGACATGAAACGTAGTTTAAGAATCAAAAAGCTAAAAACAACAGAAAAGAAAAAAAAAATGACCTGCAACAAATCCAGAGAAGAAAAAGTTGACCCATGCAAAGGTAAGAGTCTGGAAGCAGAAAAAATCACAAATCAATATGCTAAATTATCTTGTTTGAAAAGACACATTAGAGAAGGCCAATAAGCTCTTGAACTGTTAATACCTGGGGTATAATCATAGAAAGGTTTTTCTTCATCATATCCATGGCCATATTTGGGTCAGAGAACATTTGTGCTTGTGGATTCTGATCCTGGCCCTTGGGAACATGCAACAATCCATTTTCCTAATCAAGAGTAATTAAGTTTTACGTTAGCGTCTTACCTACTGGAAATGGAAAATTTTAAGCTAGCGTCAGAATTATGACCCTAAATGTAGCTCTCACATACCAAATCTGAGGTGCACAAACAAAGCAATGCAACATATCATATATCTAAACCCCTCCAATACATTAAAAAAAAAAAAATACAATACGAATCATGTCAGACCTGCTTGGAAATTGAAAGAAAATGTACTTAAAAAAAAAAAACCAAATCTCAAATCTCTTTCACAAAATTAACCACAAAATATAACCAATTTAGATACTTCTACAAACAATTAACAAATCCAACATTCAATCACCCTACACCAAACAAACCAAAAAAAAATAAAAATAAATCAGAACCTCATTGCTAAAATAAGCCCTTCGAGCTCGAAAAGACTTAGCAGGTATAAAGTTAGCTCCAGCTCGCAAATTCCTTGCTCTCACAACAACTTGCCTGCAATAAAATCACAAAAACAAACAAACTTTAATACAAATAAAACAAATTCTGACATACGTTTTCAATAGCGTAAAAAAAATAACTAAAACCACCAGCAAAAACATGAAAAATCACAAAAAGAATCAGAATTTAGCACTAAAGAGAGAGTTTGTGACATGGATATCCAATAATTAGCCAAATTTCACCAAAACCATCACAAAAACAATCTAAATCACAAAAAGAAACAAGCTTTAACTCAAAACAGAGATAATGTGAAATGGGTTTTTGATAACTAACCCTTCTTTAACAATTTTAGCATCTGGAGTTTGCTGAGATTGCATAAGCTTTGAAACAAAGTATCGAAGGATCCCAATAAGAATCATCACTACTGTTAATGGGATCAGCACCCAATCTCTTATAGCTGTGTCTAGCACTAGATCTTCTGCCATTGATTTCTTGATTGGACGGAACCCACCAAAATCAGACACAAAGTCCTGATCTTTCGAGAGAATAATGTACAGTCTTTTGCTCTTTAGTTCTGGTCTCTGGTTTGTTTGTGAATGAAGGAGAAGGGATGTGAGTGTCTTTGTTGGAATAGATTAGGGTGTTGTTGTCTTTTAGAGTAGCTGAGATACTCCAAACTGTTTTTTCTGTGTTTAAAAATATTTTTAAAACAATTTAAAACTTTTTAATATATTTAAAACTAAAATTATTTTTTATTTGAAATAATTTTGATATGATATTTAAAATAAATTTAAAATTTTTAAAAAGTAGTAATATTTTTTATTTTTTAAAATATTTTGTATTTAAAAATATATTAAAATAATATTTTTTTTATTTTTTAAAATTTATGTTTTATATCAACATATCAAAAAAATTTAAAATATAATTTAAAATGAAAAACATTATTCATTTTATAAGACTTATTAATCTAATACTTAATCTGATAAAGTTTTAATTTAAATTATTATAATTTGATCTAATTAAATTTAAATATATTAACTTTTAAACTATAATTTAAGTAATTAAATCAAATTTATAATATATTGTTTTTGTTAAATTTTAAATTCTTTTTAAAATTTCATCTAAGAAATATTATATTAATTTTTAATTTTAATATTCATTTTCATTGGACTTGACTTTTAAATGTATAAAAATAACATGATAAACTAATGAATCAAGCCCTAAATTAAGCAACTGTGTTTGGACTCGTGCAAGAAGTGTTTGTTTATAATATTTTTGTTATGAAGTTTTCTTTCAAAACAAGCATGTAAAAACTTACAATTCTTCTATTAATCTATTCAATTTATCATTAATTAGACATGAGAGTTTACTTAATTAGTTAAAAATGAATGTTTGACATGATTTTCATGCTCTTTATTAATCTTTCATGAAATCCAAGTAATATAGCAAGGGAAGTTTATGGTATTGTATTACAAAAAAAAATTAAAATTTTTTTATTTAATAATATATTAAAATATTTTTTTAATTTAAAAAAATTAACATGAACATATCAAAATAATAAAAAATATATATTAAAAAGATATATGTTTTTTTGCATCTAATTCATTTTAAAAAAACACCTAAAAATATCAAATTTAATAATTTTTCCCATCAAATTTATTTTTAAAAAAGCACCCACAATAAAAAAAAAAAAAAAAAAAAAACCACTCACTAAAGCTGCTTGATTCATGACTTGCTATCGGATAATAAGAATTAAGTCAAAGGGTGATCCTTTTTATATATCATTTTTAAGGATTGAGGTTCGAAGAAGGGCGTAAATTTTTCTCTGGCAGTCTATTAGATGTTTCCAGTGGCCATACTACTAAACTAGTCCCTCCCTGAGCACAAAACTGAACTTGCTGAGTTTAACAGCAGTAATTGGAGTTTGTTCAAAACCGAGGAAAATCCTGTCATGGTTGAAGCGTCCCTAGAGTTCAAAACATAAGCACCTGGATTGCGAAAGGAAAAGCAAAAAGGGACTAGCCTGTTAAGTTGCATAACATGAGAGCCAGCACATCTTCTCTGGTAGACTCGTAATGGTTTCAATTGATTCGATTCGATTCGGCTGGTGCTGTGTGTTGTTTGAGTGCGTATCAAGGCTTAATTTTCTGATTCGGCTAACAAAGCAAAAGTGTTTCAGCGTAGTTTGCTTTCACTTCAGCAGGCTGGATGTGTATTCTGTAAAAGAAGTATTGAAACTTCTAGCCATCTTTTCATTCAATGTGTTATTGCTTGGAAGTTATGGATGGAATTCCTAGCTTGGTGGGGTATTAGTGGGTGCGTCCCAAAAAACTGCTGATGATATGTGATAGTAATGATCTACAATGGTGCAAGGCAAATTTCAGAAACATTCACGGCAACTTCTCTTTACTTGTATTGTTTGGGGTCTGTGGCTTCATCGGAATGATGTAATCTTTAATGATGCTACTCCAGATCTTATGGTTGAGGATTGATAGAAACACTTTTGCTTACACCGGAATATTGGATCTAGGATCGAACTCTGGAATAACAGAATTCTCATAGCTGACTTTCACCATGCATCTTTTCTTTTGCCTGGTCTTCATTCCCTTTTTTAGGTTGCAGCAGCCTTAGTTTTATGGCTTCTTCTTTTTTATCCTGTTTCTGTTTTTTTCTACTTCTTTGACTGTCTTCTTATTGGCTAAAGTTAATAAAATCTAGAATATTATCTTTTTCTCGATGGGGAGAGTTTTCTCTAATGACGTTCAAGTTCGAATCCGCTGGGAATCATAAGCATCATGTTAAAGTAGCTGTTGTAGTATCAGCTTAAAATCCCAAATCAATTAGCAAGTATAAAAATATAAAAAAATAAATGCAATCAATCTCACAAAGATTATGTACAAAATTTAGGTAATTTAATAACTTATGTCTTATTTTTATAGACAAGACAATCAAAGAAAAAAAATATTATGAGAAAGTAAAAAATACAAGATAAAATTATTCTTCCATCCAAAATCCCAAATTAAATAACCCAAAGTTGACTGCTAATTGCAAACGCTAATCCGAATACTTAATTACGTATGGTTTACTGCAAGGTATAATTCTTGGGATCATGCAGAATTCTTACCTGTTCACCTGCCTCTATCAGAATTTCACCATTTTTCAAATTAGTCAGGGGCTTCAAAAATATGTAGTTATAACCCTCGACTCTCTGAAGCAGCTTAATCACAGACCGCAATTCCCATGAATCCTTCATGGACCAAATGTAAGGGTCATCAACTTTTGAAAGATAGAAGGCTGATATCAATTCATAAAGCATACTTATATCCATGTGAATTCACTCATTGTAAATCAAAATAGACTGTAGTATCTCCTTGAACTCTTCTGTGCTCATGTCATATGAGACCATCAAATACCACCCCGTCCTTCCGATCATGCTAGTTAGCTTTCTGGATAAGAAAATCATTGGCGAGCCAAATAGCAGCTTTGTAACTAAGATGGAATAATAATACCCCGATCCAATGTCCTTCCACCCATCAGCTTTCAAAGAGTAGACTCTAGCCTCACGTTCATGTGAGTCGATGTCAAGGAAAGGCTTATCATATATATGAACACATCTTATGACCTTGTAATCATCTTCTTCTTGAAGATAACCAAACCCCTACAAGGGGAAAGAGTTCTCAACTGTGGCGATATTGAAACCCTAGAATGGGAGTAATTTGAAAACCCCAATAGAGGGATTCAAGAGAAAGATATCTCGATAGCACTTTTGGTCCGAAATGCAAAGTATGCCGTTGCATGAACCAGAAATTTCTACGTTTTCTATGCTTAATGAAAGAGGCAATGACAGCCTTCTTGCCTTGCTCCATCCTTCATCTTCAACACAATAAAGCTTGGAGTCAAGCTACAGGACAAGATTTGGGTTCTTCAAATTTGCTATTTGGATGCTACTTAACAAATTCTAGACTGCCAAGGAATATTGCCAACATTGACTCGACAGGCAGTTTGAGCAAAAATGTCAGTAATGATAAATCACTAGGAATGTTAGATGACATTTCAGTGAATGTATAGTTGCTGGTGGATTCTGCTGAGCTTGGTGCACTCATTTTTGGCTATAGGCATATATGTTGTCAGATTAGTTGTGTGCTAAGGATGGGAGAAGATGGGAGTAGCTATGAACAAAGAAGGAGGGCTCAATGGCCATACTTCCATTAATGAAAGATATCTGAGTATATTCCGATCTACAATTTTCTTGAGAAGATAAGGAACCTCCTTAGATTACTTCTCGAAGCAATTGAAAGTATTGCTTCAAATTCTTTTCTTGCAATGAAAACCCCAAAAAACAAAGAATTCTTTTCTTGCATGTTACTTAACCTTTCTTTATTCCAAAGGTTCTTCAAAATAATTCTATATCCTCAAAACTTATGTTTATGATGCATCCCACATGCTTATGATCTTCATTCCTTCAACATTCCAATGGCCATTGTCTCTTTCTCCACCTTGTTAAATGGAACTAGCCTATTCGTCTCAAATTCACCTCCAAAACTCATCCCACAAGCAAGGAATTCCTACAGTACTCCTACTACTAATCATAAAAATATACGTACAAGAATTTGTTGTGTTGCAAAATGTCATCCACAATTCATGCACCAACCTTTGATTGAAACTAGCTTCTCTTCAAGGCATAGAGGCTTATTGCCACTAGTGCCATCCAATGCTAAGACATCATCAGGATCGGGAGAGGAAGACAACCCAGCTGTAGAAACAGTTCTCAAGCTTTACAGAGCAATCAAGAACAAAAATATCAGGGACTTGTCTGATATAATTGGTGATGAATGCCGATGTGTTTGCAATTTCTTCTCCTTCTTCCAACCCTTCCAAGGGAAACAGGCATGCCCATTAAGTTTCCAACTTGCTAAATACTTTTACCTAGAGTTGTAGCATCACACAAATGATATAATATATATATATATATATATATATATATATATATATCTAATCCCTTTTGTTTTCCTTTTGCAGCAAGTGTTGGATTTCTTCAAACTTCTGATCAAATTCTTGGGAAACAATTTTGAATTTGTCGTGCAACCTACCTTCCATGATGGACTGAATGTTGGTGTAGCTTGGAGACTAAGTATATGCCACTGCCTTCTCTCTCTTTGTTGATTTTTTGGGAAAACTTCATTAACACCCCCAATGTTTTACCTCTTCTCAATATTGTCATCCTAAACCGATTAATTTTATGAATTCTTCATTCAAAACCTTTTAGAAATTAAGCAATGCTTCCTTTCCGTAGCCAAAACACTTTCAGAAAACACCTGGGTATCCTAGCATGGGAGGGAAACATTGTTTAATTCAAATAAGTTTGGGATGAAATTAAGAACCAAATAATACGTTAGGGACACCAATGAGGTTCTTCCTCTTCTTTTTTCCTTGATAATTAGGAGGGCTCCAAGTGGAGACTTGGGGAGGGGACAAAGTACACAACCAACTATAGCAAGTTGGCTCTATATGTTGTCATTGCCATCTCTTCACAGGGAAATTATCACAGTTTTGAGGAGTTGCAAGGGAAGCTTTTCTTGCCATTTTTTTTTTATGTTTGGCTAATTTATTTTGTAGACTGGAGCAAGACACATGTGCCTCTCGGAAAGGGTTTCAGCTTCTACATTCTCCAAGTATACCAAGGGAGGATCATCATAAGGTGTGTGAAAACATCCCCACAAGATTATCCATTAACCTCAAATCTTAAAAAAGAGAAACACCCCTTTAATATAGTATATAAATTAATCACTTAGTTATTATATTTAAGATAGAAAAACGAAAGATAAAAAAGACAAGGAAGATATGTCTCGTTGTATTTTTTTTATTTAAAAATATAAAAATTCATTCTCAAACTATTTTAGCTATATATGTATTCATTTCATGTCCTCTTCAACTATTCATTCTTTTTTTGTCTTTGTATTTTCTATTACTGGATAATATTCTAAAGCTACTTAAAATATGAAGTTTTAATGGATGATTTTGTACATAATTATGACAAATTATTATATGGACAGAACCAATAGTATTGAAAAAATCTGACCACTAGCTTTGGCAATGATAATGGCTGGATTTACTGTATATTACATGAGCTAATTAATATTGATGATGCATGAGCTTTCCATTTGTCCATCTCATGAATGACAGGAGTATATATTACAGGAATGTGGAGATGTTCATGGAACCACTTCTTCATGTTGAGCCTTTTAGACTGGTAATTTGCAATCCCGATTTTCTTATTCACTGAATCCGGTGCAAATCAGAAGTAAGGGAAGGATACTGATCATGACTCCTTCTGGCATATGATAGACACCCTTTTTCTTTCTTTTGCAGAAAATGATGGGATTCGCCATGAGCATTGTGGAAAAGATGAGCTCCTGTAAGTTGTCCAGAGACAAGGTGAAGAAAGCTGTGCTTGTTCTGGTTTTGCTTGCTGTCATCTTGATCTTCTTAATGCCAGGGATGTATTAGGCAGCATAAACCATGTAAGATGCAATCAAGCATCTCCTGTTTCAGTTAGTACTGTACCATGTGGTAGTGTGCCCGAAGATGCTCAAAAGTTCCGTATGAGATTTGACTAGATTAATTCTAAAATAATTAAAAATAAAATAAAATTACAGCATATTAGATTCAAAAACACAAAGGCCTAGAGACATGTGAAACCACCTCGGAAACCAGGTCCTAAACCAAATAGATCCACGGCACAAAAGCCATATTTTATACATTAATTTAATGAAAAACGGGAATGTCCAAGGTATAATAATAATTTAAAACAAAAAAAACATTTTAATGAACAAGTGGGATGTGCTTCCCAATAAGTGGGGTGGAATTCCAAGCAGAAACAAAAGCGGAAGCAAGGTCACTTCCATTAAAAAAAAAAACAAAAAAAAAAAAAAAACAGAGGGAGGGGGGCAAATAGGGTTCCATAGAACTATATTAAGTACTCTCTTAATAAATTCGTCTTTATTTATTAGGAGTTTTATATGAAAGGTAATATTGTAGGTCCAATTCCAATTCCATTGGACAGTGTAATTTTCATGTCCTTTTCTTTTATAGATCTTGTCTGGGGCTATAGTTGAAATAGTTTTTCATTAAATTTTGATTTTTTTTTGTTATAAATTAATGTTTTTTTAGTGTTTTGAATTATTTTGATGGGTTAATGTTAAGAATAAATTTGTAAAACTAAAAAAATATTATTTTAATATATTTATAAAAAAATTTAAAAAATAACTTTTATCATATTCTCAAACAAAACCTTAATTTAATACAAAGTATAGTTGATGTAGAGTTACATTTTAAAAGTATTAATAACATATTGATAAATCTTTTTTGTTAATATGTTTTTAACATCATGATATATTTTATAGTTGCAGTTTGAAAATATAAATTTAAAATAAGTTATAAATTATAGTTTTTTAGTTAATATTTCAAAAAAAAAGTAGGACCATGTAAAATCATAATATTTTTTTGATTAACTATATACTTTAAAATTTATAATTAAATAAAAACTCACATCACCCCACATTACATCATAAAAATAAATAAAGCTACAAGTATTTGAAAATATTTTTACTTTTAGATATGTTTTAAAAGTGTTTTAAACTTAAAAAAATATAAAAATGTTATTTTCACATATTTTTAATTAAAAAATATTTTAAAAAACAATTAACTACAAATCACAATAATTTCATGGGTTAATCATATTTTTCCCTTTTCATTTCAATTTTATTTCTCTCTCTCTAAACTGTGACCAATTCGATACAAAAATAATTTATTTTGATATGAAATTTATATATTTAAGACCTCATCCTTAGTTCTTAAGATGGATAGTGTATTCACAAGACTTGATAACTACCTTCATACTTCGTTTTTAAGATGGATAACTATCTTAATAAGTAGGCATTAAACACCGATGATTCTCTTTTGTAAAAAGTAAATCAACCTTTAATTAATTTTTTTAATAAGAAGAAAATATATGTGGGTCCATGCGCGCAAAAATTCAATGCCCAGTCAAGATATGATCAAGTTTTTGTCAAGAATTCAAAATAACAATGAAATGTGAAATGCTGCATAAATCCTTAATTAATCTCGTAATCTTGATATCATAATCTAATATTTTATTTTCATGTAATTTATTATTTTTATTTACTACCATAAAAAAAAATAAAAAAATTATTTAAAATTATAAAAAAAACAAATGAGAAAGATTTAAGGAATGCAGTTTTACCGGAATTGACTTGAATTAATGAGATTGTTTTATAGTTATTTTATCCAATAAATATCAACTCATTCATAACTTGATATGTATATTACTTAAATAATAAATCCTTTTGTAAATATTCAAAACGGATTTTAATATTTAAAGTTTATACCAGGTAAATAATAAATAAAATATAAATAAAATAAAATCTGATCCATGAATTAAATCATCATTATCAACCATATAAAAAATGTTGTAACTCGACTTGACTCCAACAAGTAAAAATTTGAACGATTTGTAATTTCATACTTTTCCAGTAATTAATTTCTTTTGTTGCCGTGTTGTTAATAACGCACCCCCATACACACGTTATAGATTGCAAACTCCCCACCAAACTGTATCTCCCCCTCCCTCCCTCTCTCTGCCATTTCCTTTTCGAAGCCTGCATTCACATTTGGTCTCGGTTTCTTTGATCAATCAAGTAATCTCTTTCCATCTCCTTAAAAAAAGAATCTCTAACTTTGAGGGTTTTGTTCGATTCTGATCTCAAGGTACAGTTTTCAAGATTTTGGTTTTCTTTTTGTAAACTTTTGGTTTTCTGGCTTCTTTGATGGATTTCTGAAATGGGTCTTGGAGATTTTTGGATTCTCCGTTGAATTTGGTGCAAAGGATCTATTTTTTAGAAGATTTTGAGCTTTTTTAGTTTATTTAGCGTATTTTGGAATCTGGGTTTTTTGGTGGTGGTTTAGAGAAATTGGTACATTAGGATTTTTTTTTATATAGTTTTGCTCATTTTAGAAAGTTTTAAGCATGTTCTGTTTTTTTATGATGATTTAGAGAAATGGGAGGTTTTTGGGTTTTATAGAGTGTTTTTTTTTCCTGGCATTGTAGCTTCTTGGGTGGGAATAAGATGAAGAGGTTAAAGAATGAACCTTCTAGTACTAGGAGGTGCAAGCTGTCGCATTTGTTGTTGGTTATAGGAGCATTGTACTTGGTGTTTTTAGCATTCAAGTTTCGACATTTTTTAGAGATTGCAGCAATGGTGAGTGGGGGTGATAGTTATGTTGGATTGGATTCGTTTTCCATGGTAAAAGATGTTGAAGATTCTGATTTAAGCAAATCGTTTTTTAGTTCGGTTTATAAGGATACGTTTCACCGGAAATTAGAAGATAATCGAAACCAAAACGCACCGATGATGCCCAGTAAGGAACCTTTGGAAGAGGAGAAAAGAGGGGGGACTAAAACTATAAAACCAATTCAGTATCCTTATGGCCGAATAACAGGAGAATTTATGAGGCGAAGGAATGCAACTAGGAATTTTTCACCATTTGAGAGAATGGCAGATGAGGCTTGGCTGCTTGGATTAAAGGCATGGGAAGAAGTGGAAAATTATGATGGGAAGGAGATTGGACAGGGTTCTTTATACGATGGGAAGATTGAGTCATGTCCTTTGTGGGTATCCATGAGTGGCGAGGAGTTGGCTGGAGGGGAAAAGTTGATGCTTCTTCCATGTGGTTTAGCAGCAGGGTCATCCATAACCATTGTGGGAACACCCCATCATGCACACCAGGAGTATGTACCCCAGCTTACAAGGTTGAGGAATGGTGATGGCACTGTTATGATTTCACAGTTCGTGATTGAGTTGCAGGGGTTGAAGTCAGTGGAGGGGGAGGATCCACCAAAGATTCTACATTTAAATCCTCGATTGAGGGGAGATTGGAGTCGGCATCCTGTCATTGAGCATAATACCTGCTATAGGATGCAATGGGGGACAGCTCAAAGGTGTGATGGTTTGCCATCCAAGAAAGATGAGGACATGCTGGGTAAGAGCTACCTTGTTTTTTAATAGTGTTGGTTAACTCATTTTCCTTGTTTGCTTATGTATGCTAGGTCAAATGCAACTTGGAAAGATGATTACTTAATGTATACTTCTATTAAAGAAAGAAATTGCTTACATTGAGGGGACTCAAGTCCCTAGAATTGATGTTTTGTTAGACATTCTCTATACTTTTCTTCACATAAGTTGTGTGAGGTGAAAGAGATGTGATTGCCTTCCTAAATCTTTCTAGACAATTCAGTTAGTGCTAGGGGCAAAAGTGAAAACTGCATATAGCCCTAGTTCAGATTAAAATTTTGTGTTGGTGACCATTTACATTAGGTTGGTACTCGACCATTGACCCCTTGATTTTATGCTAGGATGCTGGTAAGATCCTATCTAGTTATGCTGTAGTTTCTACTTCGATAGTACATGGTTTTTAGTTAATATATAGTCAAAGAAATGTCTCAACTGAGATGCAATATTCAGATCTAACTATTATCGTTGTTTGCTTACCCTGTTTTCTTATTAGCACCATGACATTGTTTATGATATTGATGCCAATTTCTGCACCACCTTTCCTTTTCATGTAGAAAATGATGCACTTGCCAGAGTTTATATTTTAGCACTTTGCAGATGGATTCTAGCGTTCCTATGGTTAACTTGTTAATGAATGTGAACTAGATTTGAAAAGTAGGTTTAGAGTATCATTAAGCTTAGATTAATTTCCTCATGGGTGTAAATGACATAAAGGTAGGTCAGAGTTGGTGAAGAGTTTTTGCTGGTCTGGTTTGTGTTAAAATGTATAATTTCTGAAGCATTTGTCTTTATTGTCATACTTACCTAATAGTTGTTGAAGTTCTTAATTGTTCAGCTTCCTTGTTAATAACCAAATTTAAGCCCGCACCCTGAAGTTCTTTGTGAATTTTGATTCTCCTTACTCTATTTTAGAAAATTGAATTGTATAATTTTTCTAATGCATGTATTCGGCAGTTGATGAACATTTGAGATGTGAGAAATGGATGCGGGATGATAATGTAGACTCAAAAGAATCCAAGACAACCTCATGGTTTAAGAGATTTATAGGGCGTGAACAGAAACCTGAAGTGACCTGGCCATTTCCTTTCGTGGAGGGAAAATTGTTTGTCCTGACCTTGCGTGCTGGTGTTGATGGATACCATATTAGTGTTGGGGGGCGGCATGTGACCTCATTTCCATATCGTCCGGTAAGTTGATATAGATGAGAAAAAAGTGATTATTATACCCTTTGACAGTTCTTTCTGTTTCTCCAACTCAAATGGTGAACCTTGGCCTTGTGGATTTGGAAAATAATATTTGCATATATGATGCACAATCGGCTTTCTAGCTGTTCTATCCAACCCACTTGGGAGAAATAGCACTTTCAAAATATTTGTGACATTGACATTTTTTTATGAAGATTTCCATGAACTAACCTTATCCCTGTTTATCATCTTTTTAAGGTTTCCCTTTTCTTGATTCCCTTTGCTTTCCCACTGGATTTCTTCATTATAGTCCCTGTAGATTTTTCAGTGCATAATCTTAATAGTTGTGTTTGTTAGAGTAGTAGTATGTTTTGTTCAATTATATAATAAGCTCAAAATATTTCCTACAACGTTTTTCCGTGGCTTTAGGGATTTACCCTTGAAGATGCAACGGGATTAGCAATCAAAGGAAACATGGATGTTCATTCAATTTTTGCCACTTCTCTACCCAGATCACATCCAAGCTTCTCTCCTCAAAGAGTATTGGAAATGTCAGAAAAGTGGAAAGCTCATCCTTTACCAAAGAGGCCAATTCAAGTTTTTATTGGAATTCTATCAGCTACGAATCACTTTGCAGAACGCATGGCAGTTAGAAAAACTTGGATGCAATCATCAGCAATCAAGTCATCAAATGTAGTTGCTCGTTTTTTTGTTGCACTGGTAAGATCTCCACATGTATTTCTTAACCCTCAATTTTATTTGTTTTTTAAGTAGCAATGTTTAATTGTATCAACAGTCACTCAATTATTCCCTGATTTGAGAAACATACTTCAATTATTGAATCTTTATGTATTCTTTCATCTTGTTTGCAAGTTTACCAAAGTCTTTTTATCCACCTTCTGTTTCTTTCTGCTAACATTATCCTTAAACAATGCCATTCTAAAAGGTGACGCTCTAGTTGTTGTATGGCCACATCAAAAAAAGTTAATGGAAATTTGGATCAAAGGACTGCAATAAAAATTTCAAAGAAATTGAAATTGCATTAAATGATTTGAAATTGAGGAATTTAGGTTGAGTAATAGTTGATGGTCCACTGACACAATTAACAGCCTTACCCCACCTTTTTTTGTTGATGATTTAAGTGCTTGATATAATTTTACAAGTCCAGAGAGCTTGGATGCAAGGATCTATCTTTATCATTGCCCTAGATATTTTGTGTTGAAATATAAACAAGAAAATACAATGAAGAGCAAGAAAAACAATATTCATGTACATGGGAGCATTGTGAATATGCAAGAGTGTTTGTGTGTCTTTCATTGTCAAATTATTTAATCTACTTAATGTAATATTGTGCATTCTGTAAGATGGACCATTGTTTTGGAACAGAGGAAGCAGAACTATGGTTATTTTCTATTCTTTTTTTCTTTTTTTCCATCCATCTGTTATGTAGAATTTATACTCTACTTTATCTTTGTACCTGTTCATGAAAACCACAGAATCCACGGAAGGAGGTGAATGCAGTGCTAAAAAAAGAGGCAGCATACTTTGGTGATATTGTGATTTTGCCATTTATGGATCGATATGAGCTCGTGGTTCTTAAAACTATCGCTATTTGTGAGTTTGGGGTAAGTATATGATTCATTCAGTTGGCATTTTTCATTGAATCTTTTAAATAGGATCTTTGAGAACTAGTAATTGTGTATTTATTTATATCTCCCGAATATATTTTTTTAACACATCTGAATATATTTCATGCAGGTTCAGAATGTTTCTGCCGCGTTCATTATGAAATGTGATGATGATACATTTGTTAGGGTTGACACTGTCTTGAAAGAAATTGACCGTACCTCTCCCTCCAAGTCACTTTATATGGGCAATCTCAATCTATTACATCGTCCTCTAAGAAATGGCAAATGGGCAGTTACATTTGAGGCATGTCATGTGAATTCCAATTTCTTAAAATCTCTGGCAGCAGTATCTTTGCTTATATTAATTCAATTGTCTTGTTCTTTTTTCCCTTGAAAAACAAACTAAAATGTTATAATATATGGAGAAGGGGGAACAAAGGCAAATTATTAAATCTCTACATAATATACTTCTTAACAATCTCTTCTGCGAGATCATATAACCTGAACATTCAGAAAAAGAAATGAAAGAATTTTTAATTGCTTATATGGTACACCATCCTCTGTTTTACTAGAAACAACCTTGGTGATACTGATCATGGCGCTTTTGAATTACTTGACTGAGTTACCATATGAATTAACCGGCTTCTTTCTCATTAAAGGAGCATTATTGGAAATACTATCTACATTCTTGCATTATTTGCAAGAGTTGCCTACCTTTGTCTTCCTTTTTACCCTTCTCCTTTACAATTTTTTACCGCATTGATATTCATGGAATGGAATGGGTATAGGTTCAGAAACTTGTTTGAGGCATAGAATGGCAGAAGACAGCTTTGAGAAGGCTGTTTGTGCTTCTTGGTTAGAGTTGATAAAGGTTTTTTTTTTAATTTTCTGGTAGTTAAAGAATTCAAACATCATCCCTAATCTGCTACCAGAGTCATCCTTAAACTTGGTTCTTTTTTATGATTTTGGTACGTCAGGTCTTAGGGACCATGTTCTAGTTAAGCTCCTTTCATGAATCAGATAGTCCTGAACATACGATACATATTGTTGCTTTGACTGGGAGTGTAAAATGGAAAAGAAACTAGTATTCTAGATGTGGTTCGCAATGTTCCTGCTCTTAATGAATTCAAAATTTTGATTTTTCTGTGTTTCTGGATGAGTACGACATGAATGATATAATTGTTTTTCTATGTTCACTTCTTTCATTTGAAGGTTATTGCCTATTGTAACAGGAATGGCCTGAAGCAGTATACCCTCCTTATGCTAATGGACCTGGATATGTAATTTCTACTGATATTGCTAAATTTATCATCGCTCAACATGGCAAACAAAGCCTCAGGGTTAGTAATACTACAATCTTATTTAATACTTTTTTTTCTGTCGGAGGATGTTCTCCCTTCCTCTCCTTTTCTTTTAGCAATTCTTTGACAGCTATCTTTCCAATCAGCCTGTATTGTAAAATATGTTAATTTCATTGCAGCTCTTCAAAATGGAAGATGTTAGTATGGGAATGTGGGTTGAACAATTCAACAGCTCCACCCCTGTCCAGTACTCCCACAACTGGAAATTCTGTCAATATGGATGCATGGAGAACTATTATACTGCACATTATCAATCCCCAAGGCAGATGATCTGTCTATGGGACAAGTTGGCGAGAGGTCGGGCTCAATGTTGCAACTTCAGATGACATATTTTATCAGATGTCTCCGAGGAGCCTTTGGATGATGGTGGCAGCTTTATTACACTGGTCGACACATGTTCATATTCTTGTCCTTATTTTATGCTTGGAGCCTCTGGTCAGGTCACCTTCGCCGATTTTGTTCGTTGAAGTGGGCTCTAGAGAGGGCTGTTTTTTAATTGCAGCCTTTGATTTTTGAAGAACAGACATTTCATCTTGTAATTGAAATGGCTCCTAGCCAAGGCCAAAACATCTCGGCTTGAACTAGAAGCTGGAGAAATTGTATATACCCTATCTTTCTATTACAATTATCGATTCTGTTGGTGCTGAAGTGAGAAAATCCTTTCGACTCATTACATGCTTCTGTTGCAAATATAGGTTGGAAAATTTGCATAAAATTGTATATTGCTAGTCATTCTTCAGTGTAATAATTCCTTTAAGGTTTTGTTTATAAAGGTTTAGCTTGCGCTATATGCGCTTGTGTGGTGTGTTGTGGGTGGAGAAGCTGAAAAATCTGTCAGCTTCTCCATCCCCAACACACAAGCGCATATATAGCGAGCAAGCTAAACCTTTATAAAACATAACCTTAAAGGAATTATTACACTGAGGAATGAATAGAAACTTCATCATTTAATATTCAACACCTCCTTGATTTCGAATTTGCTTTAAAATTTATTTTAGTTTTCTTTCTATAGCTTAGGGTTACTGTATTTTTAAATAAATATCTTTAGGTTTGATTTGTGCTTAGTTTAATTTATATCTGCTTTTATAAACATTTATTTTTATAATCATTTAATTAAGTGAAAAATAATATTTCTAAAAAAAGTTCTAAGCTTGGTGAAGTTCATTACTTGAATTATAAATTTAATTAGTTAAATCATGAAATTTGAATAGATTTAAAATATTAAAAAAAATTATAATTTTAATATTAAAAAAAATTAGAATGATTATTTTTTTTTCAAGTTAAATCATGCTTTTAAAATCTTCAAGTAGATTTGGTTATATTGAGATTACTTTTAAAATTGTTCGTTGAGCTGAATTTAATAATAATATCAAGATAGGTTTTTATGGCATAAATATTTTCTTTTACAATCATAATATTTTTTATTCAAGTGGCGCCGTGCACACTAGAAAAAAGTAAAAGAGTTGTGGATAATGTGATTAAAGGAAAGGAGAAAGAGCGCTTGGAAGGAATTTCATGTTTGAATTCCCTTGTTCAACCTGATGATAATGACAGAATTGTTATCAGTCAGCAACCACCGAAAGAGCAAAAGAAGGCTATGAAAAGGATGAGGTATTGCTTGACCTTGCTTTACTTGGACTCTTAGAATTGATGATTGTATTGCGAAATGCTTGCTCTTTTTAGTGGATGCACTATTTATGATAAGAATTTGAAACTTTAGAAAGTGTTTTGTTGCCATAGATAGTGAAGATAAAAGATATGTATTAAAAAGTAGAAATTCAATTTAAAATTATCTCATAAACAACTCTTTTTTTTCATTTGTTTCTATCTCTTCAACTGAACACCTAGAAAAACAGGTGTTGTGATTCATATAGCAAGTTATTGTATCAGGGATAATCCACTCAAAAACATTTTCATGGGAGTTTTGAGACTATAACGTGCTGCAGCACGGTTGTCTAGCACTTACATTTACTTCTCTTCAAGACGGACCACTTTAGTTGCATACATAGGAAGAGACATGTGGAAGGTCAGATCACAAACACCATCATTTTTGCTTCTCTGCAACTTTCCTCGAGGTTCTGCTATCAATGGTTTAACGCGGTATGTAGCTAGCTGGGAGCTTGCTCTGAATCTGGTGTACTCTGTAATGGCTAAGGTCTATTTACAAACGACTTCTCAAGCCCTGTTGCTCAGCCTGGTTCTTGAACTTTTACACCGTGTAGTAGCTCTACTTGGTGGGTGTCAATACCACCACCTGGGCACCTTTGAATCCAAACTAGATGACAATCTCTTATCATGGTCTTACAGAATTGAAAACCTGAGAAACCGGCACGAAAGACAAAATGTCTGAATCACCGCACTCTGCAGCGAAACCACTCGACAGCTTTCCTATCTTTGCGTCAGGTATTTGTTTCTTGGTCTAGATAATAGTTATTAGAACCCATCCAGAACTTATCAAGAAATGGGTTCAGGTCGCGGGTCAATTTTAAAGCCACTCGCTTGTATGTTTTTATTAAAATCATAGTGTTTTGTTATTTTTTATGTATAAACCCGACTTTTTTATCCAGTTCGACTAAAAACCTGAACCTGAAACTGATTTAAGTAAAAAGGATTCGAGTCCTACATTAATCGACCAAGCCAGGTTTAATGATCCGGCATATCTTTCACGTGCATTCAGTTCTTAGTTCAACTCCTGAATTTCACCAAATTAGGCTGCTCATTATTATACAGTGTCGGATGCTTGACCGACGCCACTCCTATGATACAAGTTATGATGATCAAAATCAAAATTCTCTGCTTTGGACTTTCCTCCAGTTCCAGTGTTAAGTGAAATTTCAACGAGGGAAAAGTTTGTCCTCCAGCTGCGTTCACCTTAACAGTTACCTCTGCTCTGTCGTTTCGGAGGAAACATCCAAAGCTGAATAAATTTACTCGTGAATGAGAACAAATAAATAGCGACATGATTTCGATCTGTCAGAAGGTGTAGAACACATGACTCCATGTAAATAATTCCAAGCAGACCACAAAGAAAAGAGGGAACAAAGCCAGTTGCAGTATGTAAACAACAGCCTATATGACAGGATACACATATTGGTCTTTCTCAAGTTAATAAGATTTTACAATTTGACTGTGGTTTCCTTCATTCTACAATGAGGGGGTTAGGCATTGGGAAGTCAAACTGACAACAAAATTAGCAAGAAAGCCCTACTACATCCAGGCTATGGCAGCATAACTACAAAGATAACCCCTGCCATTGACCGTTGTTACATTTTCATTCTGATCATAGTAGAGTAAATCACCATGTCATCTAATCACAGTAATTCACAAAGGACATGAAAAAAAAATAAACGAACAATAAACTAAACAAGGTTCTTCACTATCTGTTCTACTATCAGAAGTGAGCAGTGGTCATTGTTCCATGCACCTGCAAGTAACAAGAAAGGGGAAAAAGAACTTAAGGTTACTTGTTGGTATACATCAAATTGCAAGCAAATTAATCAGAGCATATTAGGAGCAGAAAAGATAGCAGGCACACGTGAAGTCTTAAACCCAATGGATGACAGAGTCCATAAACGTACATAATTCAAAAGGAAGCGTCAACACATAAAGGGAAGCAAAAGGGATTCAGGAACAACAGAAATTCTAAAGCTAAACTACTCGGATGATGATTTACAACTAAGCAGCAGGGTGATCAAATCACACCTGGAGGGAGATCATTAACAGGAAGAAAGTTACACTAGAAGAAACCTGTACTTTGACTACCAAGGGGCTATGGTTTGGTCCGGAACCTGACATGATATTTAAGTTGTCAGATCAAAGGACAGAATAGAAAACACCACGTGGAAAAATGAACTTTTTGAGAATTTTACAAGATTTAAAAAGGCTTGATATCATGAGACGGATAGTTTGATGAAGAAAACCAGCTCAACTCTCAGGAAAAGACCAAAAAATGCATTAAAATAACTCCGTATTATATACCCAGTCAAAAATAAAAAGAGAAGGGACTCACATCCATCATTGAGAAATCGAACATGTATACAAGAAGTTTTATAATCAGTTTTTTGTTTTCCCACCAAATCACAAGCACAGAAACCACAAGGCAATATGGGAGCTTGTTGAACATACTAACCAGTCATCACCACAGAACATCATGACCTTTTGAATAAATGATGACGTGCTAACACCTCTCCTACCCCCACAGCAGATATGCTTTCACATCCAAGAAGATCACGAAGCTTTGTATCGCATTGTATCACCATTGAATTTAACGGATCCTAAAAACACATGAAAACCATTGAACTTTTACATTAAAGTTAATTTATCTATAAAACAACTGTGTTTAGACATCGATGCACTACAAATAAGGTTTATTGGACAAAAAAGGCAGTGTATAATAACAGAGAGAGTTATACAAGAGGTATATGCTGGAAAATTAGTTGAGGGAAAGGGATGTAGTAGACTTTATGTGCTCCCAATATGGAAAGTCATGTGTAGGGAAAGGGATGAATATATAAACTCATCACCCACCTCCAACTGTTTTAGCTTTATGTACTCCCAAACACGTCTGGATGCTTCTGTTTGGGTCATTTCCCTCTCAGTAGTCCCCAAAAACTCAGCAAGTCCTTCAGATATTACCACAAGAGATGCAGCAGGTTCTTTATTTTCAGTTGTGGTCTCAACATCCACCTTCGCTCGCTTGGCTTGACCAGATTCCTCTGTGCAAATATTCACAAGAACAAAAAAATAAATTTAATCTTCTCAAAGCCACCACAGAGCAACAAAAATATGCTTCACTGTAATGATCACAATACATACTTGATGGTTGAAGTGGGATGATATGTTTAGCTAGCAGCTTATTCATCTTAAACATATCAGTGCAGTCAGTCTCAAAAACCACGCGTAAAGCATCATCACAAATTATCTTCCTCTTGTTACTTGGATCCTGGAGGTTGGTTTTCCTTATGTATTTCCACAATTGCTTCACAATCTGAACACACACACAATGCACAATTCTTAGAAACAATAATCACTCCATAAACAGCGCAGCTGCTCAACCAAGCTAAGAGACGAGCCAGGTCAACAGCATACCTCAGTCCTTGGCAAGGCTGGCTCCCCAACAACGGCCTGAAGTTCAGGTGAAACACCACACACTTTGTTTAACCCACCAGGTCCACCTCTTCTTTTGGATCCAACTGGAGTACTGCTGCAAAGTAGTAAAATTCAAACACCATTCAATCTCCATAAACAGCCCCAACAGATTCAAGCTCCAATCAAACAAAATCACCAACGGCCCAAATCTTCACGCTATCATCAACTTAAAAAACCCTTTCACACTAACCATGAGCTAACAAATGCCCAAATTTTGGATTTTTCAATTTAGCAAAAAAATAGCATTAAACCTTCAACTGGGTCACTCTTTTAACCATTGAAAGTGATAGTTACTAATATTTTTTTAACCCTCTCTGTCTTTTAGTAACTATAAAGAATTCGACTATATAACAAAACTTACCAATTAAAAATAAATGGAAACTATAAACCGTAAAGTTTGAAAAAAAAAATGCAACAAGTAAACCCCTAAACACCTAAAATTGAGCCCTAAAAAAAAACTAGAATCGAGAAATAACAAAAAGTCCTAAGCTTTTACCTCTCTTTAGCCACTTCATGTGGAACATCCCCAACATTTTGCACATGCTGCGTCTGCCTCTGCTGCTGCTGAACTTGCAACTGAGGTGGCGCCGCTGGTGGAGCCACCACAGCTTGCGGCTGCCTAAAGTTAAGGTCCTGGGGAAAAACCTGGTGCTGTTGGTGCTGCTGAGGATGCTGGTGAGGGTGGTGGTGAGGGTGAAGGGCAAAATGGGAAGGGTGAAATTGTTGTTGTTGAAATTGGAGGGCAAAATGGTCTTTTGGGGTCAAATGAAGAGTTTGTCCTTGTTGGAATTGAAAAGCTTGCTGTGATGGAGGTGGTGGTGGTGGTTGTGGCGCCAGTTGTGGATGCGCGGTGACGGTTACGGAGGCGGAGGCGGTGGTGGTAGGGTGGGGGCGGAGGAGCAGATTAATTTGGTCACGAATAAAAGCAGCTTTGTGTGATAAATCTAACCCTAATTTAGCTTCAAGTTGCTGTACGACACCGTTTAATGAAGTAACGGTGCTAGGGTCGGATTGCCGCAGCACCGTCTCTACTCCTTTGGCTATTTCCTGGTCTGTCACCATGGCTTGGCTACCTCTCTTTCTTCACATATATTTTTAACGGAAAAAACGGACACAAACGGTAACTCTATGTGTCTTTGTCTCTCTAAACAATTCTCTCTCTAGAAAAATTCTCTGTGTTTCTTTCTCTCTCTACGTTCTCTCAGTCTCTCTCTTTATAATTTTTCGAAAGGACGGAAATGACCTCTCGTGTTTTTAACCCGAAAAGACGGTTTGCCCTGTGTAACCGCGGGGTGGGTGGGCGAAGGGGGGCAGGGTAGAGTGGGTATTTGGGGAAGTCCACTGTTTCTTGAAGTTCTAAGCTGTCATTTTGGGTGTTTGAAATGACGCTTTGGGGTTGAGGCCGGGGCTTGTGGGGGTGGCACGGGGAGGCGGCAGGTGTGGAGGGTAAAATGGGAAGATTTGTGGGAGTTTTATTTTGCTTTAAAATTGAAAAAGGAAGAGATAAGAAAGATAGTGGATAATTGAAGATGTAATTGACAATGGGAAATGAGATAATAAAGGAGGTTGAACCATCGTTATTACAGCAGTTAGATATTCAAATAAATATTTTAAAAAAATAATAATATCTTTTTAATTTTTAAAATTTATTTTTAATACTAGTATATCAAAATAATTTAAAGAAACCCAACAAAATTAAAGCAAAGAAAAAAATATAAAATTTTATTTTTTAAAAAATACTCATAAGAAATAAGAATAAATATACTTTTAGATTTGAATCATGGGTTAGTTTTTGGCAAAAACTCATGTAATGGTATGAATGAATTCACGGGGTTAATTCTAACAAATAAAAAAAAATATTAAAAAATTATATATTAAATCAACCTCAATTTTTTTTTTTTGTCCCCGAGCAAAGGATGGATTCACATAACCATTAAATAAATAAAAAATTCCTAATAAAATAAATATAAAATTATAAATACATTAAATTTATTCTTAAATGACTAGAAATAAATTTATGTATATGTGTAGCATTCATTTCAAATATTTTTCTTTGGTTATTAGAAAGATAAAATTGAGAGGGGCTAAAAAGGCCAGTTGAAGAATGAGGGCAGACAATTTCACAAAATTAGTTAATGTGCTTGGTGATGATGATTTGTTGAGAAATGAGCAAGGGTATTTTGGTAATCGAGAATTGAGTTTGGAATTAGGATGATGGAAAGTTTGATAAGAATTTAGTGGGGTGGGTCAACAACAAGAGAATGTTGATAAAGACTAAAAGAGAACCAAATTAGTGTCTTCTTCAACCAGATAACTAGCGTAGCTATTAATATATTTCGAGTTGTTTTTTAAATATGTTTTATTTAAAAATATATTAAAAAAATATTTTTTTAAAAATTATATTTAATATCAATGTATTAAAATATTTAAAAATACTAAAAAATATTAATTTAAAATAAAAAAATAAAAAAATTTAATTTTTTTAAAATGCAAGAACAAATATGACCAAATTATCTCTTACGGTAACCATTGTTTTTAAGCTTACGATTGACCCATTATCTAAGTAACATGGACTCAGGTTTTAATAAAGATACAGGTTTCAATAAACTATAGAAAAAGACTCAATGTGGTGGAATCGATGAAAAATTTATATTATCTTGTGATCACGTTAAACCTGGGAAAACTTGATAAAAATTCATTGATTTTTAATTTTTTTATTTTCTTATAAAATAAAATAAAATAATTAATTTAAATTAAATCAGGCCTATTTACCTAACATGGCATGTGCTCGACAACAACATCACTTTTGATCAAGGTGTAAGAAATAATTTAGTCGTGGTGCGCGTAAGCTGGTCCGAATATTCATGTTAATCTAAAAAAAAAAAAAAGTATTGCCTTGTTTATCTTGCTCTTCTTTTTTAGGAAATCACCATAATTTTCATACCAGCCAAGAATGAAAAAGAATGCGGGTTGCTCCATCAACGATTAGCATAGATTATTTATTTTTATTAAAATAGTGTTGTTTTACTTTTAAAAAATTATAAAGGTAGACTTATTGAGTTTGATTGGGTCACAAGCAATCCCAACTAGATTTTATTAAATCAATTTATTTATTTTTTTAATTCAACCAAACCATGAAGATTTCCTTACGAATCTAAGTGCATGCCATTGGACTTATAGAGAAAATTACAAAAAAAGAAAATAATATTAGAAAAAGGGGGGACATGAATTGTGATGTTTGTGTGTCACAATCATATCTTTGCGACTAAAAGAAGCAATTATGTAACATCACAAGTGTAGAAGTTGTCAAAGTGTGATGAAAAGGCTATTTATATTGGCAACATAAATGGACAAAGGGAGGATTTGGGCTCTTTTTACAGGGTTTGAATATATTTTTTTACACACAAGACAAAGACAAAACGAAGGAAACAAACAAACAGAAGATAAATTAAGAGCATGCGATGTAATGATGTAGACTCCTGTCACCTTTTTCCTCCTGTTGCCTGAACTTTGAGCAAAGCCTGTCTGTGGTCCCTGTTCTTCAATATATATATATATAGTTGGGAAACACAGCCGCTGCAACACACAGGCATAAAATTAATTAAAGGAAAGCCATTGAAGAAACCCTGCTCGATGCTATCTAGATAGAGTGAGGTTGTTGAGTAGCCATTGAATGCCAGCCGTTGTAAAACCTTAAGCTGTCTATTAACTTTGCTCAAGAAAATTATTTTTAGTGATTAAAAAAATACAAAATGTGAAATAGAAACACACGAGTATCGCTGATCTTGAATATGTAATAATAGTCATGTTTTTAAAAATTAAACCTTATTTTTTTTTAATAAAAAACCACACACAATGTGAGAGCACGGGCATACATGCAAATATATGTGTGTTGATTCCATTTGAGGTGTGCGTAAGTGTATGCACATACATACATATGCATATGTGTATATGTATTGATGTGTGTATATATATATATATATTCGAGTAAGTTTATATATATTTTAAATAATATTTTAAAACTTTAAAGTTAATAGCTAAATAAACTTCAGATAATCTTAAAATTTATATATTATTTTTTTAGTTAATAAGCAAGGTTGTTGGAGTTGGTTATCAACATTGGTTTTTTTTGACATCTTTTGTATTGCAGTTGAATAATATTTTTTTGATTTTGATTTTTTAAAATTTAATTTAATAGTTTTTTAGTTTTTATGTTTTGATACATTAATATTAAAAATAAAAAATATTATTTAATATATTTTTAAATAAAAAAACTTAAAAAACACTATACATTACGGAAACCCAAAGACTAACTTCTGGTGGTAAGAAAGTCAGACATGAGAAAAGCGATGGAAAACAAGAAAATTATTGAGCTAAAAAAAATTTGAAATTAGTTCAAAGCCCCAAGGACATATTGTCCTAAAAATTTCTAACGGGCTTACCAATTTGCATACCCAAGCCCATGTTCTCTTCAGCTCTATCAACTACATGTCTCTCAAGCTGGAGGCAGAAGGGTAACACACCACCACCATGGCACAAGTTCTTCACATAAACCCTCTACGTTCCTCAACCCGACCCGAATCAAACGGTACCCTATTCCTCAGCCAGACCCAGAAGCAAGATGTGAAGCACAGCTGGACCTCTTTGCAGAGAGAATTCAAGTGTAATGGCAAGTTTACTTGCCTTTTCTCAGGCGGTGGCAGAGAGGTACAGAAAAAAAGTTTGCTCCTATATGATTTTTTTATCACTTTCTTGGATATATTGTTTCTGATTTTTGTCTCTTTGGATGCGAATTAAGGAAAATTTTATCAGCTAGTGATAAAGATTGAAGCTTTAAGGTTTTTGTTTTGGAAATTAAAAACCCATGTTTGGGTTTTGAGTTGATTGAAAGCTGTCGTTTTAAATGGTGGATATGGACTGTGATAATTGGATTTAAGGGGCTTCTGAGCTTGCAAGTGAATAACTTGTCCGCTTAATTATGGAAGATGAGGGTTAGGATGTTGTTTGCTTGTCAAATTGTAGAGTTTATGAAGTGTTTTATTTAGTTGGAATGGAGTGAGGGTTGGTTGTTTGAATGGGATATGGTTTTTAATGTCAGATGTTTACTGATTAAACTGTGATTCTTGTAAAGATTTTGAATGCTTGGGTGTTAAAATGATCTTTCGATTGTTAGTTATTAGCCTAACCATTGTGTGCGTTTGTATCCTAGTTACGAGTGATTGAGTTCCAACAAAGTGAAATATTTAATATGGCTATAATGTGAACGTGTTTATGTTAGTTGCCATGCCAACTAGAATTACCATTATCATATTACGGACCTCAAGCTTCTTGACCAACTAGTAGGATAATCGGTAATGTATTTGATAGTTATGCTAGGCCTTTGTTTTTGTAAATGTGGTAATTTGAATAGCTTATTCTGCAATTCATGTGGAGGATTCTCGTTGCTTAACTCTAGAAGCCAAGGCGATTCAAGCTGTTGTACTAAGCCACCAGTCCTCTTACCCTTTCTCCCATATTTGAAGATGGTTTTGATCACTGAACTGGACCTTCAGCATCAACAACTTTATGACATCGTGATGTCTTAGAACTTTAAATTCACTAATGGTCCGTTTGGTTGTACAAAAGGGTAGCCTGGTGCAGGAGGCTTCTGCTTTGTGTTTCTGGTTATGTGAAGGTTTCACGTTTTCTTGTGCATTGACTTGCATGGTGTCCATTAATCTTGGTGATTGCCTGTCCTATCAAACCAACGGTCATAACCAGGTCTAGATGATGGAAACATGGCTAATGAAAATTGTTGGAAATGGCTTTCTCAGTTTTGATGAAAAACTGAGATATATGCAAGGGAGTGTTGTAATCCAACTGTTTAGAGGCTTTCAACTCCAGTCTTTTGACATGCCTTGGAATTTAGATATTGTTGAACTCTGTATTTGTTATGCTATACGGTGACCTGTCATAGGGTGGGATAAAAAGAATAGGAGAGCTCAAGATTAAATTTGTTTGCAGGTGTGATTAGGCTGTCTTATTTGTGGCTGCAGGAACAAGCAAAGAAAGCTTTAGAAAGTGCTCTTGGTGGAAAGAAAGATGAATTTGAAAAATGGAACAAGGAAATTAAGAGGAGGGAGGAAGCAGGTGGAGGGGGAGATTCTGGTGGAGGAGGTTGGTTTGGATGGGGTGGACGATTTGGCTGGTCCAATGGTGACAATTTTTGGCCAGAAGCACAGCAAACAAGTCTTGCTGTCCTGGGTATTATTGCCATGGTTAGGTTTTCCCTTCACAATTCTTGGAATGCTGTGTTTAATTAATTGCTCTCTCCCAATTTCTTATGATGTTATATTACATGTACAGTATCTCATAATTGCAAAAGGTGATTTGATCCTTGCTGTCATGGTCAATCCTTTGCTATACACTTTGCGAGGGACAAGAAATGGGCTAACTTTTATATCATCAAAAATGTTGAGAAAGGCATCTCCAGATGATCCTGCTGATTTTGCTGGTGCGTCAAAGAATGGTGTTTATGTTGAAGTTTCAGCTAAAGAGAGTGTTAAAAGAAAATGGGGAAGCAATTGATAAGTTATCTCAGGCTTGAGCATTGTTTCATCCCTCCACTTGATGCTGGTGCATCTACAATTGTATTGGACAACTGAATCACGGATTCTTGAGAACGCAATTTTAAATTGTGAAGACTACCGAGCCTGGCTGCATGGTCAGCCACTAGAGTTGGGGACGTGCTTCCATCTTTTTGGGGGCAATTTGTATTTGAAATCTAGTTTGTCTTCTCCCTGTAACATCAAGGTCACGGGTTATTTGAACATCAAATGGAAAGAGAATTGATCCATATTTTGTCAGTAACATCCAAGTCTACTCTTCTGTAAGATGCATCATTTATCATCACTAGATAATACATTAATTTTGATTTTGAGTAGACTTGTTTTGATTCATTTCAAATTTATATCAGGCAAATTGGATGGACTTAGTTGGCAGAGAAGGATCCGATAAACACAAAGCAAGGTGGAGCAAAAGCCATTTAACGCTCCAAATTTAGGTTTTTTTCATTTGAACTGCATAATCTTCCATTTCCCCATTTTAGTTACTACTGCGCATACTTGCCTGGAGTAATGAGGAATCAAGTAATACAGAGATTGAAGAGGGGATTTAGAAGGTGAATAACTCACTTCCAGTCTGCTCTACCATTACCCTATAAATGCAGCTAGAGATGACTCTAGGGTCCAAGGTCCTGCAATATGAAAAATACAAGATTTCCAATCTTAGCATAGAAATGAGGGAATGGATAATTAATTTAAAATAAAGAAATAAAATTTCATAATCAATCTTATATATACATATAAAATTATGTGAAAAGTTGTATTTGCTTACAATTGTATGCATGACTTGGAAGAAGGTCTGATTTCAATACCCGTCCCTTAATATAGGTTAAAAAGCCAACATAAATGATTTTATTAGCTTTGATAAAAGGAAAGCTGATTCTTGAGAATCCCTTGTATGGTCATGTTAGCAGAAGAAAAACTGCAAATTCATAAGTAAAAATTATAAAATCTAATCTAATTTATCATAACTGATTCATGTTGATTAATTGTATTATAAAATATATATAAAAAATCATAGGCTTATCAAATTATTCATTGAACCATGAAAAAAACTCAACAAATAACAAACAAATCCACTATTTATTTTACATGGAATGCTATAGATATTGCAATAAAAACAAGATATGTATGTATATCTACTGATGAGAAGAGCCAAGATACTTTAATTTCTTATGTTCTTGTAGACATTATCAGATATGCTATTTATCATATATGTCGAGAAATATGGAAAGAAAGAAAAAATGTAAAACCTAGAAAGGAATTATAGGAATTCCCACTTTGAGAAATTGGACAAAAACAAAAACAAAATAAAATTTTGTTTTTTTTTCGAGTGATCCAATGGCACCATTTTCTTATTATTATTCAGATATTATCTGAATAAATCTACTAAGAAAATCTCACCATCCATACATTACAAAATAGCTTCACGAGTGTTATATTTCCCAAGAAATCTATCTTCTTGTTTGCGAAAAAGAATCCAAGATGATTCTTGCTGTTATAAAATTCTCGTGTATATGAAATTTCTCGCTTCCAGTCTGCTGTACAGCACACCCTATAAATGCTGCCAGAGATGACTCTACTGATTTACTGTGGTTTTATCATCTCCCGAAGGAAACGACGATGAATTATCTTGGAGCTGAGGACCAGGTTCGGTAAATGGCAAATTTGGCCACCATCTGCGGTGGTTGCTGATGTTGACATTGGGAAGATATCTCTGCCTTCCTTTGTGGTTTGTGTGGTAAATTGTCAGCGTGAAAACTGGTTCTTGGCTCCATCGGCACAAGGGATAAGGTACAAGCAAACAGTCCAAAATTGCCAAGGATTCCATGAAGGTGGTAAGAAGTTTAAGCTGAGGTTCATGCATCTGCTGACCATTCCTCCTATGGAAAATAATTTATTACATCAGCTAATGGAGCAGAATATTGTTGTTCCACCATCATGACCATTGAATGATGATCATGTACATTTGACACAGTGGCCCTCCTAGAATCTATTCAGTGGCCTTAATAATTAGTGGGGCACATGCATTACAGAAATCGGAACAATTCAATGCAGAGAATTGCTACCACGGCCTTCCTGTACATCATTGAAGGCCATGATTATCTTCAGGGTTGAATCACCAGTTGAGTAGATTAATATTTTTACAAGAGTTTTTATATAAAAAAAGGAGTTAAATTGGGTTATTTTTACAAGAGTTTTTATAAAAGAAAGTTTTAATAATATTATTTTATTTTTTAAAAAAAATCAAATTTTAATTTATTTCTTAAATAAATTAAATTAATTTTTACTTGATTTGATTTGAAATCTGATCTCAAATCAAATCTCAATTAATAAATTAATAAATTAGTTTATTTAGCTATACCAAATTTAATGTCATCCATGAATCTTTTTGACATGCACTAAGCTTAATAGTAACGTGGGTCCTTTTTCTAAACTTGAAATTGACATTATAATCTTATAATTACTAATTATTAGGAAGTTGTGCACCCATTTCTACCATTTCCAAACCACTATAAACACTCCAATATATATATAGATATATAAACTAAGTGCATCAATAGGGCTAAGCTAATGAGATCATCATCGTTTACAAATTCCCATTTCCATTTAGCAAATGACAATTACAACTTAATTAGTTCATATAATTTAACTTAGAAAATTTTCTACACTAGTCCTGAAAGCCTCACCTAATGGTTTTTATAATAAAATCAACTAAATTTCAATTTGGACTAAAGATTTCAAGTAACCTAAATTTTGATTAGCCTATAAACTTATTTCAAATTGGATTGAGTCAAAACTAATAAAGTTTTTCCTTAAAAAAAAAACAAAATGACATCTTTTTGATAAACAATTAATCTGAGAAAATCAACTCAACAACCTTTAACGCGGACTCTTTATCACTTTCCTCAGCTATGGTTTTTTGATGTCCTAAATACATGAGAAAATGAACAAATTAGTGGGACTCAGCTAACTGAATTGACTTTGCATAAGCCTATAATCTTTTTGACAAGGACAAGAAAATGTCCAAACAAAAAACCTAAGGTCAAAGTACCAAGCACTGAGAGCTTATCTAAAGTTAAAAACAGCAAGCTGAACCAAACCAATTATAACTATCAGAATACCAGGCAGCTTTTTTTTCTTTCCTTCATGTCCGAATCAGAGTTTCCATTATAAGAAGTCAAAGAGGAGGAGTCTAGCCTCCAGACAATCCTAGGCTGTCTTAATCTCACATCTCTCTCTCTCTCTCTCTCTCTGTATATTGTTTTGGTTGTAATCAAAAGAGTGCTCTAATTTTAAAGGCCCCCATGTCCTTGAATCAAGGTATTCGTGGATCCTACTGAAGGAGTGACCTTCACGATCTTGACACCTCTCTTTTCTTATTTTGCCATTGTTGTTTAGTTGAACACAATTTTAGGATCACCACATGACTCTGTCTTTTTCCTTAGTTTGAACTTTCTAAAAACTGAACTTGTGACCTTTCTCTATCGTTCTTTCTTGGGTTGTTAGTGTGTCTTTTTGTTGTTTGAAGGGCTATGGTTGTGGGTTTTCTTGATTTTGTCCCGTGTTAAACTTTCTATTTTCTAAGATTCTTTGACCCTTCTTTTGTTGGTGTCTGGTTTCTGTGTTCTTTTGCTTTGGGGGCATTCTGTTTTTTGTTTTGTTCCCTAAGGGAGACACATATAGGCGCAGACACAACTGCTGTTTCTTTTGTTACTGTTGATGGGCTGTTGATGTCTTTGGAGGTTGGTGTGAATTCAAATACTAAAAGCATGGGTTTTGATGAGAAAAACAAAGAGGAAGTTTCTGAGACAGCAGCAACAACAAAAACACCTCCAAATGAAGAAGAACATAATGTTGATGAACCTAAAAGTGGTGGGATTAGTAGAAAGATGAGTGAGAGTTCTCTTTATGGAACTGATCAAGAAGAAGAGGATGATGAAGAAACTAATGAAAGGAAGATAGAGCTGGGTCCTCAATACACACTCAAAGAACAACTTGAAAAAGACAAGGTTTGTTTTTCTTCCTTCTTTTCTACCTGTGTTTTCTCATTCCTGTTTCTTTTTATTAATTACTGTTCCATTTTTTGTTTTGTTTATGTTCAATCTTTTTCTGTTTTGTGGGGTTTGAGAATGTAGGATGATGAGAGCTTGAGGAGGTGGAAGGAACAGCTTCTTGGGGCTGTGGATATTGAGGCTGCTGGAGGTAATCTGCTTAAACATTTTGAAAATGTGTTAATTTGTAGTACAATTCAGATTTCCTTTGCAATTAGTGGTAATGGAGCTATGTTTTATGTAGCCCGTTGATGATTTTTTTGTGGATTTACAAGTCTCTGCATGTTGTCTGCTGTGAGAAAAACTAAAATTCACCTGAGAAACCTTAGGAATTAATAAAAGTTAAGTTTGTTAATTAGGGTTGATAGTTTATGGATTATATGTCAAATTTTTAATAAAAGTTAAGTTTGTTAATTAGGGTTGATAGTTTATGGATTATATGCCAAATTTTTGTTTCTCTTCCCACAATTTATAGCAATTGTGTCTGAGCTCATGTGTTACGATAGTGTGTTAGACCCTTCTTTCATCATCTCCATTTATTCAAGCATACCATTTCATTGACTAGATTTGTAAATGCTTGAATTTGAATAAAATTTCCTCTGTTAGCCTTCATGGCAGATGAAGTGTGTTTGGATCTCTGACATTTTCTTAATGGTTTTATAACTATGTAGAGACTCTTGAACCTGAAGTTAAAATCCTGAGCCTTGAAATCAAATCCTCTGGCAGACCTGATATTGTTCTTTCAGTTCCTGAGAATGGAAAGCCTAAAGGCTCGTGGTTCACCTTAAAAGAAGGTAGCCGCTATAGTCTGCAGTTCACTTTTGAGGTTAAGAACAACATTGTTTCCGGCCTCAAGTATACTAACACGGTTTGGAAAACTGGTATCAAGGGTAAAAGTCTCTCCATTTATCTCTTCCAATCTCTCCATCCCCACATCTCTTTTTCACTGAAATAATGATTTTCCCTTGAATGATGATTTGTCATGATAGTTGATAGCTCAAAGGAGATGATAGGAACCTTTAGTCCTCAGACAGAACCTTATACTCATGAAATGCCTGAAGAAACCACTCCATCTGGTATGTTTGCTAGAGGATCATATGCTGCTAGAAGTAAAGTAAGTTCCAGTTCTTCTTGTTCTTCACCCCTTTGATATTTGATCTTTTCACGCAACAGATGTGTTGGTTCAAAATATATGTTCATTAACTGACCTTTTCTCAACGCATTTGCGCACATTCATGTTCAGTTGTTTTCATCTGTTCTGCTGATTCATGTGATAGTACTTGAGGGGCACCTGCATTTAAGAGCATGGATTTATAAAAAAAAAATTTCAAAAATTCAAATAATTTTAAATATGCTAACATTAAATCTATTACTATTTAAAGTCCCAACAATGTAGTTATTATTTCAGAACATCTTGCAAGGCCTAACTTAATCTGCTTCAAAAGGACAAGCAGGGTAATGTTCCTATCAATTAGTTCTGGAATCAAGTGTGTCATAATTCATGCATGTGAACATTTAAACTTGTGGGTCATCCTTTGTTTAGTGATTAGATTTCAAGGATAATTATTAGATTCATCAAGAATTTTTGGTTTGCACAAGCTGCTACTGATTTCCTTTGTATTCTTCTTTCTGTGTCTCCAGTTCGTTGATGACGATAACAAGTGCTACCTTGAGATCAACTACACCTTTGACATCCGCAAAGATTGGCTGCCAACTAAAAACTAAGAATTGCTATTACCTTGAAGTTGCAGCTTCCATATAATTGTTTTACAAGTTGGAAAATGCTTCTGATGTTTAACATATCTTCTTTTTATTGTCTTATTTATGACTCCTATTTGAGACTGGTCATTTGAACAATGAAGAGAGGATTTGAAAATTTGCAGCTAGATATTCATTTGGTAGTTGTTTGTTGGTTAATAAAATTCACCATTACCTTAAATTGAACACTTCCCTTTTTATCTCCCGGATCATCATTCCATTAGTACATTCTTTTTCCCTTTTGAATGTTGCTTTTGCTTTCAACGTTGGCCGAATCTTTCTACTTTAACCACCTTTCTTGTTCTGTTCTTTTCGTTGGAATTCTTTTGCAACGGTTCCATTTTGTACCGTTGTTGACTCTCCTTCTAGTCTTAGAACTACCATGTTTTAAATGGATGTCTTGTGGGGTTAATTGGCTAAACTTTTTAGAGACAATGTTTGGTGGGACTAGGAACCTTTAATCATTGTGGAGGTGAACGCAACGGCAATTGCCTGGACTGTCAAAAAGAGTTGCTGTAAGTGGAAAAAAAATGACAGCTGTGATTCTAGACATTCAGATCTTTGCATTATGATCAAAGCCATGCAGCTCCTTTTCCACCTGAGAATTCTGAATATTTGGACTAGGAATGCATTATTTAACCATTTTGGAGAGAATTAACGCTACGATTTAAGTTGGAACAACATAGGTGTGATTTTGCAGTGCCATCTGCTACTGGTTTTGTTTGAACACCATGATGGTTGCTCATTCAATTGATGGTGATGGTGGTAGTGATCTACTAGTACTAGGGTTTTGAATCAACAAGAAAGATGTGATCGGCCAATGAAATCTTAATCAACGAACTCATAAAGAGTTCAGAAGTTGAGGTTGCTGCTGGTTGTTTTAACATGAAATCTTTCCTTGTAAGTTGATTTTTGGAAGCCGAACACCCACTGGCACTTGATGTTATTGACAAAAACTTGGTTCACAATATCTCCTTACCGACTTAAAGAAACATTTAGAATAGGCATCATTGCACTTTTGATCATCTGCATCCCTAATTTTTTTCTTCAATTAAACAGTATTGATAGTGATTTCCAATTGAGTGGACATGAACAGTATCTTTCAGATTCACATCATTCTACGTAGTGCTACTTTCATTGGGTTCTATATAATTCAGTATTGATTGGCCGTATTGTATTGCCTCAAAACTATTAACTAACTTAGCAGTTCGCTTTTAGAAGAAGTAGAAAATGGAAGTTCAAATCATTTCTAAGGAAATCCTGAAACCTTCCGCCGTGCTGCACCATCTAAGAACCTACAAGCTTTCTCTTTTACTCACTATCCAGTGAAAGTTTCCGCAAAGCCTCTTTTATCACCTGAGAAAGTCCTCACAGTCATTAACTTAACTCTACCCTCTTGCTGGACGGATAAAAGATGGTTTTTCTATCGACTGCAACGATGATGGTGCGCTGTGTTTATTGAAGCCTTGGATGGTGGCGACGTAACAAAGGTATTTCAAGAAGCAGACATAAATCAGCTGCGACCATGTAGCCCTAATGAAGTCATTTGGGCTAAGCACTGATCAGGTAATGCTAGCAGTTCAAGTAAATTACTTCAATTGTAGGGGGTTGAAAATTTGTAATTGCATTTGACATGCAGTTGCTGATGCATCAACTATGGCAACCTTTGTTAATAACTGGGCTGCAATGGCTTGCGATTCCCAAAACATTATTGAGGAGGTGATTTTTGACTGCTCAACCCTCTTCCATCCACAAGATTTACCAAGCTTCTCTTCAAGCAATTTCATGAAAGAGGATGTGTTAAATGAAATTTTGATGAAAAGGTTCTTGTTTGATGGTTCCAAGAAAGTTTCTCCAGGAGAAGAAGTGGGCAACGGACCATCTTTGGATTGTCCTCCTCTTTTCGATGCTGTTTCAGCTCTTATTTGGGGGCTATGACGGCTGTAACCGGAGAAATTGAAGCTACAAGGATAAATGCTGCAACAATTGCAGTCCATGTTCGGAGGACAATGAAACCACCAGTGCCACAACAATCCATCGGAAACTTCTACCTGGTAGCAACAGCAAATTGACCAGAAAGTGAAAGTAATGTGCGAAACTATAATGGTTTAGGAGGAAAACAAATTTCACGAGTCAATAGCGAGGATGAACAATGAGTATCTTTGGGAAAGCTTCATGTTGTTGGCGGATATTTCCTCTAAAACAGAGTTGTTAAACCCAGCATAATCAGGTTGGTTGAGTTAGAAAATCTGCAGTCTGAAATCTAATTTAAATCAGGTTTCAAGTTGAATTAGAAATAAACATTGATTTGGTGAAACATGTAGATCCATAACTTGATTAACCTGACAAAACTCATTCCAAACTTAGACCGTCGAAGTCCATCGATTACGGAGGCTCTTTTTCAAATGAATCATCGAGATAGGTCCGATAACTGTGTTTAAAGCCGGTGAGGAGGCTCTAAAGATTCCTAGCTCAAGGATTTTTTTCGTTTCAGCAGTTGGTATAAGTTTCCATTTCATGACACTTATTTTGGGTTAAGTCCTGCCTTGAAGCCTAACAGGTTGCCATTTTCTTGGATACAAAAGATGGTGAGGGAATAGAAGAATGGATTGGATTGTCCAAGGAAGACATGGTGGTAAAGTTTGAACAAGACCTTGGCATCTTCACACATCTTTCTTCTTGTCTTTGAGCTGAGATTTTCCATTTTCATCCATCCAATCAGTTCTTCAATTACACTCTGAGAGTAGCATTTCCTCACTCATATATCTCACAACTCACAAGAGATCCGCTGCCTCAGCCACTAATATTACTTGGGACTCACCGCATCAATCCATTTGAGAGTTTTATTTTAGTACTAGACGAAATCTGAACAGAAAACATCCTAGTTAGATTGCTAAGGAATTGAAATATGACTAAATCTGAGAGTTTTATTTGTGGTCGATAATTGAAATTTGACAAAACTAAGGTTCATGGAGATATATATTTTTTATTTTGTTTTTCTTGTCTGGAGATTGTAAATAAATGTTATTTTGATACCAAAAACAATGAGAAAAAAATATTGTTTATTGTATGAAAGCTTCTAATTAGAGAATAAGTAAAATAGTTTTTGTGTAAAAAACATGATTCGAGAATCATGAAAAAGCATGAATTCAAATTAAATGAACATAATGAAAAACCTAAATCATGATTAAATATTGAATTAGACCATGTGTAGATAATTTGTTAAAAAATGATCCATCAGTAGAAGGATGCTTGTTAAAAAAGATTAGACCAAAAAAAGTTCATTATAACTTGGTATTTGTGCGTATGCGTGTATATATATTCATTTATAACTTATTTTTTAAAAAAATAGAAAAGGTTGAAAAAATAGATAGGACGAAAAAATTGACAAGAAGAGGAAGTTTTTTTTTAATAAAATATTATTAAATTAAATAGAGTCAATAGTGCTGAAAAAAAGTATTTAATTAGTTTTTATACTATAAAAAATAATTAATTTATCTAGATAAATCATAACGATTAAATGTTAATTAAATCTATAAAAATAATCAAAATAAATAAACAAGTTTATGTCTTTAACTGTAGTTATAAAACCAGTATAATAAGTTAACTTGGAAATGGTGGATTTGAAGCTTAATTTATGCTGGTTTTAATTTCGATTTTTTTTCCTTCTAAACAATGACCCGTGAATCAATGAATTAGCCTGCCCAACCTGCCGGGTCCACCTGTGTTTGGTCGCATAACTATCGTCTTGGCCTGGAATTTCCATAAACAGAAGGTACATATATATATACAGCTAGCGACGATCCCTACAGCTAAAAAAACTGGCCAGAGAGATAAATCAGAACAAAGCAACCTTTTGCACATTAACGTTGTCAGACAGAACATGGCAGAAGTCAAGCAAGAAACAGAGAAAACATTCGCTTATTTAGGTTTATGTAAAGAACTAGTAGAAGCATGTGAAAATCTTGGATGGAAAAAGCCAACAAAGATACAAGAAGAAGCAATACCTTATGCACTTCAAGGCAAAGACTTGATTGGTGTAGCAGCTACAGGTTCAGGCAAGAGTGGAGCTTTTGTGCTTCCAACACTGGAAGCACTTTTGAAAGATTCACAAGAAAGAAAATCTGTGCAACCCTTCTTTGTTTGTGTTCTTTCTCCTACAAGGTTGGCTTTTTTTTGTTGGTTTTCTTTGAATATGAACCCAGATGATTTTTTTTTGTTTATTATATGTTTAAAGTTAGGTTTTTTTTTGTTGAATTATTTGAATGTGAAAAACCCAGATGCTTTGTTCATGTGTATTTAGTGTTTTAAGCTTTAAAGGTTGTATTTTTTTTATTTTTTTTTGCTATGGAGTGTATATTTTTCAACTGGGTTTTGTTTTGCTCTTGTTCAAAGGGAGTTGGCAATTCAGATTGCTGAGCAGTTTGAAGCTTTGGGATCTGGCATTGGTGTGAGATGTGTAGTGGTAAGTTTTAAGGTTGCCCCTTTATTTCTTTTTGTTTTTTCGTTAGATAGACAGGAAGTAAATTGAGAGTCTTTTTTTTTTTGTGATTATCTGTTCACTTCCATCACAAATTTATTGGAGACATTTGGGTTGGTACATAAGTACATTAATAAAAACAAATCTTGATTTGCTGATAGAATATTTTAACTTCAAATTAAAGACTCAGGTCATGTAGTTCTGTGCTAAGCACATAATTGAGCTGGGCTATTTAATTATATAATACACAAAATTGGCTTTGAGCATTGAAGGTGAGTAGTATTGAAATCATGCCTGGCAGCAGGACTAATTCTGATAAGGAAATTTTTTGCGACTGGGTATAAGCTATGTAGGTGGTTTTTTTTTTTTTTTTTTTTTTTTTTTTGTGGAGTAAATGATGGTGAAATGTTAAAGTTCAATGTTTAATAAAGAAGTATTGGAGTTAGTAGAAAAAAGAAGGCTATGGTTTGAATCACTTTGAAGGGTAGATTCTGAAGATTGAACTGTATCATATAGTTTTCCAATCAATCTTGTTATTTTTTTTTCCAAAATTATGTGAATGATAATCCTTGTTGTTCTTTTGAAATAGCTTGTTGGAGGAGAGGACATGTTGCAGCAATCTATTGTCCTTGCAAAAAAGCGGCCACACGTTATTGTAAGAGTTTCGTTTACTAGCATCTTTCTATCATAATCTGATAAGTCATAGAGCATATCTTAGCTTGTTGGCTCCCACTTTCTCATTGTATAGGTGCGTGGGGTGGGATTGGTGCCTAATGTATGAACAAGATTGTTATATTCAATTTTGGTTGGAATTATTCTAAAGTGGAAATTTCAACTTAAAGGTGCTTGCAAGAGTAGGAAGGAGATTTATGTGGATATACATTAAAACTTCTACATGTTTTCAGTTGTAGAAAGCTCTCAATTTATCTCGGTTTGTTATTTCTTTGTAGGTTGGAACACCTGGTCGCCTTGCGGATCATTTGTCAAACACAAAAGGCTTCTCTCTTCATGCATTGAAATATTTAGTACGTCACATTTTATCCTTGGGCCTAGAACCTTCTTTTTTGGTTTTGTAAATTGTTCATGTTGCTTTATTATTTGTGCTGTAAACAGATCTTGGATGAAGCAGACAGATTGCTGAGTATGGATTTTGAGAAATCACTGGATGAAATTTTAAAAGCCATTCCGAGGAATAGAAGAACCTATTTATTTTCTGCCACTATGACAAATAAGGCAGGTGCCATATACATTGAGATTGCCAGAGTTTTCTTCTTGTTTTTCTTTCTTTCTTCATCTATTTTTTCTTTTATGAATATGCTGGAGTCTTCTTGATTCCAATGTTCATGTTGCTGTGGTTGCTATGGAGCATAAAACAAGTCATTGCAAAATAAATTGCAGATAAGAACTTAATGTTTCTGCAATTTTTATCTATTCAATGCTGATTAAAATAGTTTGTTGTAGCTAATTTCCTGAATTGGCTCACTAACATGAGTAGGAAATGGAAGCTAAAATATAAAATGTTTCAAAATATCAGATCATCTTTTCTTTTGTTGTTGCTGATTGTATCTGTTTTTGGCCTTGTGGTTCTTCCAATTGCAAAGTTCTTAAGGTTTGCAATAAAGTGAAATTAGAACAAATGCAACGAGTTTGAAGTAATAAAATCCAAAATATTTTTTGTGTTGACAATTGAAATATTTCCCGTACATCCGAATGGAGGGAAATGAGATAGGGTTGAAATTTTGATCAAGATCTTATCTTGGTTTTGTAGGTGAAGAAACTCCAAAGGGCTTGTTTAAGGAATCCTGTAAAGGTGCAATGGAGCAACTTTCATGCATCTATCACTTTCCTCTTCTAATTGTTTTCCTCACAAGCCAGAATTTCAATTTTCCAGATCGAAGCAGCATTTAAATATTCCATTGTTGACACACTGGAGCAGGGGTTTTACTTCATGCCAGCTGCGCTCAAGGTTTCTTCCTTTTCCATTATTGCATTGCTTCACACATATTCTTCCCTTTTTACATATATGATGTATTCCACAAGCCCATTTGATATTCTCTGTCATCTGCTGTGTATCCAAATACACATCAAGAATACTGAAGTTCTGGTTACAAGGAACTTCTTGTCTGCAATATCAACTTTCATGCATCTATCACTTACAAGGAACTTTTTTGAAGATGTTAGTTGTGGAATTATTCATGAGACTGCAGCATTTTATACCCCAGTGGAAGCTTAGTGAAGCAAAAACTGCTTCCATTCTCTTACTCTATAATTAATCTCTCTCTTAGGTTCATTTCATTTTGTATGCTTGCTGCAGGATTGCTATCTTGTACATGTACTATCATCAAAGAAAGGAGCTACTTCCATGGTTTTCACTCGGACATGCAGAGAAACTGACTTTTTGGCTTTGGTTCTTCGAAAGCTTGGTCTAGGGGCCATCCCCATTAATGGTCAAATGAGCCAGGTGTGCCTTAAATAATTGAAATAAATGCATTTTTTCTCGCTCTCCATCTATTCACATTTCTTCTCGTCTGCTCATTTTTGTTACCTAAATGTTCTTGTGATTATAAATCAGCCCTCACTTTGTTAGAACAATGTTTTCTATAGTCAAACAGACTTGGAGCGTTAAATAAGTTCAAAGCTGGCAAGTTCAATATTCTGATATGCACTGATGTCGCAAGTAGAGGACTCGATATTCCATCTGTGGATGTTGTTGTTAATTATAATATCCCCACAAACACCAAGGTTTGCCTTCTAATTTTCCAGCACTCTCACTCATACTGAGTACACCATGGTTAAGGTCCTGTTTCTGATCTATCTTCTGTCATAATTATTGTGGAGCTTGAATTGCTTTTGGTTGTTTCCCTTTTTCCATTCATGATATTTCTCTGCATTGTCATCACTTTTCTGCAACACGCTCTATTATTTTCAGCAAATTTCAAGTTTGAATTTGTCACCACAATCTTGGAATCTTGCATCCAAACATTCACATCTACATGACAAACACAGTAATTCCTTTAGATGATGAATGACTAGATGGAGTTGTTCGTGGAGTATTTTGCATATATTTACAACCTCCTCTTTTCTAATTTGTTTACAGGATTATTTTCATCGTGTTGGTCGAACTGCTCGTGCAGGACGATCAGGGCTTGCAATCTCACTTGTAAATCAATTCGATATAGGACCATTTAAACAGATAGAGAAGCACATTGGAGGTTAGACTTAGACATGCTGTTTTCTTGTTAGGAGCCACCGGGAATATTTTTGGAAAAAAATGTGCTTACCCATAGACTAAACAGTTTGCTATGCTTTCAGATGATTTCAAGATACCCAAGTATACGGCAAATGAAGATGAAGTCTTGCTACTGGCAGAGCGTGTTACAGAAGGCAAAAGAATTTCCAGAAAGGCATTCCCTTAATTTTTCCATCATAATTGATAGGACTAAGTGTAGTGAAATAATGATATTGTTTTTATTACAATCTCATGCGAGTGTTTCTTGACTGATGTTCCTGTTGTCTGCTGAACTTCTATAGAGCATCAAAGAGGGTGGAGGCAACAAGAGAACAGACCGACTAGACGACGAAGATGAGGAGGATATAGAGAAGTATTTAGGCTTCAAGAACAAGAAGTTGAGTAGAAAATGAGGCCAGCAAGCAACTCTTCTGTCTGAATGTTTCACCATCTGAGGATTCTTCCTCAAGAGATTTTTGTAGCATAACAAACACTACTCTGATCATCCAGTAAGGGGATGTGAGATTACTAGTTTACTACTTATTTTGGCGAAGTAAAATTATAGGTTTTATGATATTAATTATTTTTCATATGATGAAATCTTATAATATTAAATTTTATCCCATACTCATTAACATGTGCATTAGCCATGAAGATCAAAATATTGTTTGAGAATTACAGTATATGAAAAGCCAAATCATGGAAGATACAAAAAAGGCCAAATTATAGGAAAATATCGTTTTCTAATTGTATATCCAACAATATTAGTAACTTAAGAACACCCTAAATTATTATCATAGCATTAATCCTAAACAAATTTTTATATCAATTTTACTATTTGGCTATTTCGATTTTTTTTTATAAAGATCTCTGTTGGCATCATTTTATAAAAAATATTAATTTTTTTACAAAATAATATCATTTCTTACTTAAATAGTTTAAATTAATCAAGTATTTTTAAAAATTTAAAAATAAAATTAATACAAATAATTACTTGATGGTAAAGGTAAAGTCTAAGACGAGTTGTGTGGTTTTTTTGAGATTTGAGAAAAAGAAAAAACTCTTTATAGTGTAATGGGCTGGACTTCCTTCTAAATGATAATTTTCAACCCAGTCCACCAATTCAAAATTGTGAAAAAGACACGTCATTCCAAGCTGCAGAAGGTGCAGAAACGACGTGTCGTTTTGTCTCGGCTTGGCAAAATGCTTTTCAAGCAGCAGTCCAGTCTCGAAACTGGAAATATTTTGGGTTCTTTTCAAGATCACCAGATCAAAGGTAAGTTGTTTTCTTGAAAACCATTTTGTTATTTTTATCCAAGTGTTTTTTTAAGGATTAAAGTTCTGGTTTTTAGATGTTTTAGAGCTTCAACTTTGCTTCTTTTTATCATGAAATGTTCTTTTTATTGGTTAAAGTTTTAAGTTTTAGATGTATTAGAGCTTGGAATTTGCTTAAATCTTGCATAAACTGAGCTAGTATTTTGATATTTAATGTGCATAAACAGTGAGGGAAGAAAAGATTGTGAAAAACAAGAGAGTAGAGGAAGATAATATGGGGACTGAAGAAAGTGGCGGTGTTTCAAAGAGGCCGAGATTGGATGGGCAGTCTTCAGCTTCTGGTTTTGAAAACCCACTTGTGCCTTACAATGATGTGGATGATGAAGAGGAGGATTTTGAAAGAGGGAAAACGGCTAATGGTGGTGGAAGGGGGGAGGAGAATAGGGGACAAGTTGTTGCAGCAGGGAATGGTGAGGAGGAAGAGGAGGAAGAGGAGGAGGATTTGTATGGACAAGAGAATAGTATGGAGAAGAGGAAGAGTCAATTTGAGCCTCGTGAGGATTGCCCGTATTTAGATACTGTTAATCGACAGGTAAAGATTGCATCTTTTTTGGATAATTTATATAGATTTTGGGTTTATAAGTTTTTAAATGTGTTAAGTATTGGCGGTTTTGGATATGATAATATGGATTTTTGTTTAAATAAGGTTATCTGTATATTGTTGTGCAAAAATGCGTTAAGGATATGTTTTCTTGGGGTGTTTTGTGTTTTTGTACTTGAATGTGTGGAAGAATGCATTTTGCTAGATAATTTGTGTAGTTTGTAGGCATAAGTGTGTTAAAGGATTCATTTTTCTGGGTTGTATATGTGAGTTTTTGTGTGTAATTATGTGCACATAAATGTGTTAAAGGCTTCATTTTTTGGGGCTATATATCCGGGTACATTTTTGTGTAGTTATGTGGATATGTGTGTACATGAATAAGTACAGTAAACATTATTTTGGAGAATATATCAGGATTGTGGTTTATATGTCTGTGTTTGTGTGCTTAAAATATGTTTTGATTATTGTTTTTTGGGGGTTTGCAGGTCTTGGACTTTGATTTTGAGAAATTCTGCTCTGTTTCCCTGTCAAATTTGAATGTGTATGCGTGTTTAGTTTGTGGGAAGTATTACCAAGGAAGAGGGAAGAAATCCCATGCTTATACTCATAGTCTTGAGGCAGGACACCATGTCTACGTCAATCTTAGGACAGAGAAGGTTTATTGTCTTCCTGATGGATATGAGATTATTGACCCATCACTAGATGATATACGGCATGTTCTCAATCCAAGGTCTTTCTCCCCCTCTCTCTGTGGTGCATTATACTTTTCCTGTGGGCATGGGGTTCCTGTTAGTATTCTTTCTTAGAGTTCCTGACCATATATAGTTGAGATGGTAACAGGGGATGGTTATCTGTGGTGTTATTGGTTGCATTTTCTTTTTAACTCACTTTATATGTTGACCAACTTCCAAGAACTTTGCATCATCCATGCAGGTTTACTAGGGAGCAAGTCAAACAGCTTGATAAAAACAGGCAATGGTCCAGGGCACTTGATGGGTCTGATTACCTTCCTGGAATGGTAACCATCTGTCCTCTTCTTGATCACCAATTTATCATACTCATCACTGAATTATTGTGCATGATAAAACTTCCTTGTGTAATAAGATGCAGGTTGGTCCTACTTATTTATGTAGAAGATGCATATTTTGGACATTTTGACATTGTTTACTATCTTGCTTGATTTTGATCATCAGGTGGGTCTGAATAACATCAAGGAAACTGATTTTGTAAACGTCACAATTCAGTCGCTAATGAGAGTTACACCCTTAAGGAATTTCTTCCTCATCCCTGAAAACTATCAACATTGCAAGTCTCCTCTTGTTCAACGCTATGGAGAACTCACTCGTAAAATATGGCATGCTCGGAACTTTAAAGGACAGGTTTGATCCTTTGATTACTTCTTCGAAGTCATGGTTTTCCAATGTTTAAGTTTTGTTTCCTAATTTTATTTGCTCATCTATTCTCTTGGGACTTTTCAGGTGAGCCCACATGAGTTTCTCCAGGCTGTAATGAAAGCTAGTAAGAAACGGTTTCGCATTGGTCAACAGTCTGATCCAGTGGAATTCATGGCATGGCTTCTTAATACATTGCACACAAATCTTAGAACTTCAAAGAAAAATAACAGCATCATTTACGAGTGCTTTCAGGTGCTTTTTTACTGTTCCAATGCTCTTCAGTTTGTTTCAAGTTTGCTTGTTGATATTATTTATCTCAGTGGGGCTGGTCTAAAACTTCTTTTCCTGTTAGGGTGAGTTGGAGGTTGTGAAAGAGATTCCTAACAAAGCTATCACTGAGAAGAAAGAAAATGGTGATGGCCAGATTGATGGTGGAGCTGGTCATTATATTTTCACAGAAACGTCTAGAATGCCATTCTTGATGCTTGGACTGGATTTGCCACCACCTCCTCTGTTTAAAGATGTGATGGAGAAAAATATAATACCTCAGGTATTTATGCATTATGTTTTAGCTAGGTTGGAAATATTATTATTATGTCTGCTGTATAGTGCCAAAAGGCTCTCTATCTGAGCTACATGGTATCATCCTGCATTATTGTTTGTGTTATAGGGATCCTAGTTATACGCATCAAGTCATGTTTAATTCTCATTCCAAATGAAAGGGTTCAAAAGACATGCTTGGTTAGAGCCCTAGGAGCGAATGTAGATGTCACTGCTCTGGTAATAGAACATTTAGTTGATTCTTTTTTTCAGATCTTTAAATAATTCAAATTCTCAGCTTATGCCTCCAGTATTCCTGGGCAATCAAGGGTTAATTATTGACCATGGAAGATAGAACATAGTTCAGTTTCTCTTCTTCTTTTCTCACTTCTTATTCATCTATTGAGAGGAAGTGTTAATTTTTGCATCTGTTTCAACTCCTAGTTTAGTGCTTTTGTTGGTTGCCATACAAGACTATATTTTGCTCAAATGGTTAAATTAAAACCTTATTGACCTGAAATTTAGATGAAAGCTGAATCAACTTAAGTATCCTAGTTTGGGTTTTCAGCTATCAGTATTTGCATGTGATGATCATATGTGACCTAGAAACACTGGCTGTGTACTTTTGAGCTTATTTATGTTGGGATTTGTTTTCTCTACGGTAGGGTAGCGAGGTTTTGGCTTGATCCATGGGTGGAAAATGAAGGATTTCCTTGGGTAAATTCTACTTATTCCCTTTCTTGGTGGATACTTATTTTACATGTGCTATTGTTTCAGGTTCCTCTGTTCAATATACTGAAGAAATTTGATGGTGAGACTGTGACTGAAGTTGTTCGTCCTCGTGTTGCCCGGATGAAATATCGCGTCACCAGATTGCCACAGTATTTAATACTACATATGCAGCGGTTTAAAAAGAACAACTTTTTCATCGAGAAGAATCCCACCTTAGGTAAGGCTCGGCACTAACAGTGGATTTTACTTAGAACTTTGTTTGGTTTTGAACTATCCTGTGCTAATTGTTTCTATGATTACAGTCAACTTTCCTGTGAAGAACTTGGAGTTGAAAGATTTTATTCCTTTGCCAATGCCTAAAGAAAATGAGAGATTGCGCTCGAAGTATGATTTGATTGCTGATATTGTCCATGATGGAAAGCCTAATGAGGGTTTCTACAGGGTTTTTGTGCAGCGAAAGTCAGAAGAGCTATGGTAATTCAAGTTCTAATCCACTTGTATGGTTGTGAATGAAACTTATAATTACATATCTGATAGCCAATGTTTTGCAGGTATGAGATGCAGGATCTGCATGTTTCTGAGACTCTTCCTCAAATGGTTGCTCTCTCTGAGGCATACCTGCAGATATATGAGCAGCAGCAGTAGCACTGGAGTTTAGAAGCCCTATTGTCAGCATGTTGTCATACTGTTTTTGGGTACAACACAAGAGTCTTACCTTCTGTAAATGGTTGAGGAAAAATCAGAACATGATGGCACCATTGCTTGACTGGCACTTGGCAGATTTACTAAGCTTAGAAAAACATTGAGGTTTTGTAGAAAAAAGGCTGTACTTTGTCTGTTTCATACCATTAAAAGGATGAACAGTTTTGTTACTAAAAAACTATCCATCTATGGTAGCAGAGCAGGAAACTTAAATAATTAAGTTTACTTGGGTGATTCAGATAGTGACTTCGGTTTGGTTGTCCTGCTTTGTGTACAACTTTGATCTGTAGGGATAAAAAAATGATATGCTAGGCTTTGGTTTGTTCATTGTTACCAAGTTTTCGTAGC